CGATCAGATGCCGGGATCATGCTCATATTTCACTTACAAAGTGGGATTTGATAATTCCATTTTCCGTTTACGTGTAATCTCTAAGGGAAATGTTTTGGTATATCGGTAACGCACTTGACTTCCGACCTCGAGGTCCCTGGTTAGAGTCCGGGCGTCTCCAACAATTTTTTTTCTTCACTTTTTTTTCTTTTTGACCTTTCACTCTACCATCTCCTTTGAATATTAAAACACGTACAATCGCAAATAATGTAATAAACAACCATATTTACTTTATTATTACCCTATTATCACTAGATCCATTACTTTTGGCGTGTAATCCTTATGGGAGATGACTTTTTCTCAAATCTGGATTCTACATTCTTGTCTTTTGCGAGCAATATCGCCGTTATTTCGGCTTGGTTTTTGTAGATTTTTGAGTATGTTGTAGCTGAGACTATACGCTATCTAAATGTTCTCTAATTTTGTTCAGTCTGATGTCATCGTGATCTGTTGATGATAATCATCAACATCATCATCATCATCATCATCGTCATCACCATTACTATCAAGATCATCATCATCATGATCATCATGATGATCATCATTGTTTACATGTATATATAACTTCTCCCTTTCTCAATATAGTAAATATTATAATCTCTCATAAGACTTGAAGACAGACCACCTAATTCGTCTCCATGACGAATTAAATTTCTAGTTCTTTTTATTATTATTACCATAAGTAGTAGTAGTAGTACCTTCTCATTAACGTGCCCAAATAGTATTCTTTTGCTGTTTAGGTTGCGTCGGTAGGCTGAGGGTTCTTTACCAACGTTTTGATTAGTATGGTCGTGTATGTGCTATGGCATGAGAGATGTTTCACATTTGAAGTTTCTGCTTGAAGACTACACTGGAGGTAGACATAACTGTTTCCTCCTTGAGTAGGTTCCAATCCTTGATCATTTGGGAAAAGCTGCTCTGTTGCTTGTAGTCGTTGGATTAATTCGATTAGAAGGATGTCCCCTTTACGGTACGGATCCAATGAACTACTGGCATACTCCAAGATGGGTCTGACCAGGGTTTTGTATGCGGACTCTTTGATGGCCTTGGTACAGAACCAGAGGTTTCTCCTTAGAAAGCCAAGTACCTTGTTGGCTTTAGAGGTGAGCTTCTTGAAGTTAGTGTCCCACATCAGCTTGTTGTCGATTTCCACACCGAGGTAGGAATAAGAGGAAACTTCTTGAAGTGGTTGCCCACAGAAGGTGTAGTTCCTATTCGGCGGGTTCCGATTGTTGGCGATCTTCATGACAGAACATTTGGCTGGATTGAAAGAAATGGCCCATTTGTTCTGCCAATCTTCGAGTTGATGGAGATCTTCTTGCAGGTATCCGAGTCTTCTCTGTAATTGCCGTTTGTATAGATGATACAATCGTCGGCGAAAAGTTTTGCAGTGCTGCGAAGATTGTCTGGCAAGTCATTAATGAACAGCAAGAACATCAGTGGGCCGAGTACCGTTCCTTGTGGTACGCCTGACGAGGCTCTCTAAGGTTTTGATAAAATGCCATTGCAGACTACCTTCTGCGTCCTTGCTGTAAGGGAAATGTCTCAGCCACTGTAGCAGTGGACCTTTAATGCCATGACGGTCTAATTTCCCAATCAATCTTTCGTGGGTCACCTTGTCAAACGCCTTGGCAAAGTCAAGGATTGCCATGTGAATTGTTTCTCCATTCTCCACATTTTTAGTCAAGTCATGGGTAGTAAGGACCAACTGTGTAATTGTAGAGTGTTAAGCCCTGAAACCATGTTGGTTATCTACCAGGATACCATGGGCCTCTAGATGCTTCATTATGTGAGAGTAGATGATATGTTCCAATATCTTGCTGACCACACTTGTTAGGGAAACTCCCCGATAGTTGGCAGGTTCTTCCTTGGCCCCTTTTTTGTAGATGGCAGAGACATTGGCATCTCTCCACTGAGATGGGAAAACTCCTTCATCCACCGATGACTGAACGATGTCTGTCAACACCGGAGTGATTTCTTCTGCACACAAATAAAGCATCCATAGTGAAATACCATCTGGTCCAGGAGCTTTGTTGGGTTTGACCTTTTTAATCTGCTTCAGAACACCCTCGCTCTTTATGGACATGGTATGTCAGGATCACTGCTCTCTCACAGGGTTGGAACGTCTAATGTATCTTCAATGTTGAATACACTAGCAAATTGGTTGCTGAGAGCTTCTGATTTTTCCAAGTCATCGTTGATGATTTTGTTAGAAACCTTGAGGTCAGCCATATCAACCTCTTCTTGTCTCGTTTTCTTGACAAAAGACCAGAAGGCCTTCGGATTCTCTACCATACAGTGAGACAGGTTATTTGACACGTAGTTCCGCTTAGAATGGTTAATTTCTCTTCGAGAGAGTGACTGAAGATCCTGTAGATCTCCCATTCTTTTTGATCCCCAGATTCGTTGGCTTTGTTGTACAGCTTTGGTTTTTTTTCTACAGAGTCGTCTGTGTTTCCTTTCAAACCATGGGAGGTTTTTTTTGTTAGAGGACTTTGATGGAACATGCTCAACCACGACTAGTTTGAGCTTGCTCTCAAACGAGTCCTATTTCTCCTTGAAGATTTCCTTGAAGTTTCTAGGAAGGCATCACTAAAGTCACTCATTTCCTGTCTATTTTTCCCAACATTTGCCTTTTGTCTGAGGTAGATTTTACGAGTAGGAGTCTTGCTCTTCCTAACCCCTACATTTAGTTCAACCAGAACTACATGGTTATCACTCAGACCAGGTATGACAAAAACCTCGTCTATGAGGGAGGAATTGTTACCAAAATCAAGTCGAGTGTATTGTTCAATCTTGTTGGCTGCATTACCTTCTGTTCCAAACCGTAAACTTGAGTGGTTTGCAGCAGTTTATCAGCTGACTATTTGGATTCAGAGTGGTTAAGTACGGTTAAACTAGTAAGCCAATCGATGTTGTTGTTGATTGAAGTCGCCTCGTAGAACAATGTCTCTAAGTTTGGCGCAGTTGTTTATCAACTCCAATGAAGCAGCTAACTTAACCGCAGTTTCTATGTCGTCGTGCTTTGGTTTATACAAGGTTCCGAAGAGTATTGGGCGCTTTCCGCGAATGTCTAGTTGGCACCACATGATCTCACAATTGGTTTCGAGATCTTCTCTACGCTTTACAGGAAGATCCTTTCTGTATGCAAAGAATACTGCAACATGTTGTCTGATGGTAGAAATTCAGCACTGTTAATAGATGGATCCAACCAGGTTTCAGTACCATGTGTGAAGTCTGGTTGTAATTTGTGGATCATTGCTATCTATTCAGCACGTTTATTCATAATGCTTTGAAAGTTGATATTCAGTGATCTAAATTTGTCCCGCTTCTTCAGCTTGGACCACTTGAATTTGAGTAAGGATCCCTTGTCTCTGTTCTCATTGTCTCTGCCGAAGTCACAATCATTCTTGTCACCGCTGTCGTCTTCATCAGCTTCCCCTTCGTCCGATGAGGAAGAGGAGTTTGAGGAGCTAATAGCCTCGCGTAAAGGGCAAACCCGGCTGAACGACGTATCAACGAGATTGTCATAAGTGGCATTGTCAACTCCTGCGCACTGACTGTGGGTCCATCACATTCCAGGCCACGTTGACCGTACTTGACAATGTGTTGTTGCACACAGTGCAATGGGCTAAACAGTCTTGGCAATACCATGGTTTTCCATTCACGATTGCTCTGAATCTGCCGAATTTACTCAACAGCAACTGGCGTGATTATTCTGTCCGCAGTCATAGCGTGATATCCATCTGCGATTACCACTTCCCTTCCGGTGGCAAATTCCACATTCTCTATCCTGACGGGGTGATTTTGGTAACATGTTTGTGTAGTGAAGAATATAGAAGTAGTTTAAAGCTTGGTGAATCCAGTGAGTTCTAGAGTAGAAAAAACGTAGCACTTTGCACCAAACACAAATTCACAACGATTGTAATATAGACTCTATATATACTAATGTCACGTGAAGTACACAGTGTCATTAAAAAAAAAAGAACAAAGTTTCTTAAATGGATGAGGGACTGCTACTCTCCACTGCTGGCTGGATTTTTAAAAGCGGGAACATCCAAGGAATAAATAGTTTAAAACATTTAGAAGTCTATATAAAATACAAATGTTTCACCACAGACATAACATGCATTAAAATGGTGAATGATAACATGTGTGATATATCCGGTCTTTCTGGATTTCTCATCCAAAAAATACTCTTTTTCCTCTGCTGCAACTACTTTAATGCAAATTCCATACACAGTTAAATAGGGCTTTGATAAAGCTCGCATATAATGAAGGTGAAGAATATGGAGTGAAGAGATGAAATGACTTGCTACTAAAATCCAAGATGGCGGCTTTCAAGATGGCGTCTCTTCCTTTCTGAGATGATTGATAACAATATTCAAATGCAAATCCTCTTTCCTAAAAACAAAATGATGATGCTAAAATCACATTAAAACAGGTACAGATGATAACAAACTTTCCGTCAGCTCCTTTCTTGTTGGTCGTCGACTGTGTAAAGTTTCGCTTGCTGGTCAGGTAGTACTCCAATCGCCGCCGCTTCGATATCCCATTTGCACGTACACGTATATCTTCTCTCCATGTAGGGTCGATGTGGAAAATCCTATCAGATTTTGCCAAAATGATGAAATACGTAGTTCCTAAGAAACACTAATGTTTGTAGATGAAGAAATACACAAAAATGTTGAACGGGGATGAAGGATGTTACAGATGGAGATAGATTTAGATGTATTTTTAAGTTGAACCTCGGGAGCGATGTGAAAACACGTACTGTTAGCAAGACGGCCATACCCGCCCTAAAGTCTGGCGTGGAGAAGGGCAGACTGGTGCAGACAGGGGTCACTATACAGGCTAATCTCTATCGGAGCGATAAAGAATTTAAATGGCAAGTAAATAATACTGAGGCGTGTCAAAATCTCAATGTAACTAAGTTGTTTGTCACTAATTTCGTTATATAGTTCTGCCTACGTTGGTTGAAGCTCCTCAAAGTACAAACCTGTCCTCTAATAACGTGACCATCCGGTGGACCAATCAGCATCAAGGAGACGGGCCAATCTGTGGATACGGAATCAACATCAAGACAAACGACGACAAAGAACGCGGTGGTGATGATGACAGTGATCCATGGGGAAGCGTGGGGTACGTGTCGGTGGAGAGCGAGCTACAGTTCGATGTCGGTCACCTAGAGCCGAATACCACGTACCAAGTCGCAGTTTCTGTAATCAATTGCATATCTTCTCGGGAAGGTCCACGGGAACCAATACTGCAGTTCACCACCACGACTGTGACAATTCCTGTGGTCGGTACGTTCAGCAGCTTTCAAAGCATGTCTTTAAAAGAAATATTATACACAAATTACCTTCGAAAAATCAACGTAAAGCAATTTCCGAAGCCCAGCGTGTCACCTTTTGAAATGTGCAAACATTAATTTGGTGCATTACGTCATCCAAACATGATTCCTATTCGGTATAATGTACAATAGGATCTCAAAGTTGCCCTTGAATGTTCAAAAGTAGTGTTTAAACCAGAGGGTATTAATAACAGAGAGTGTCGAGTCGCTAAAGAAGGCACGCAAGCACATTGTAGTAACGTATAGCAACATGGGGGATTTAAGAAGTCCAGGGTATGACCCTTATCAAGACCTTTCTTATTTCCTATTTTCTTTCTCTACGGCTTGCTTCCACCGTTGAATATAAAGTGTAATATCGCGGCATATCCCACTCGTATACAAAATTACGATCCAGGGCAAACAGGAATAAAATCTAACTGTATCAGAAAGTAGTAAGGATATGTTGGAAGTGGTGGAAATGGTATATATATATTTATAAAAGTGCGAGAATTCTCAGCTACTTCTCACGTTCCTAGACCATTTTCTTCACGCCTATATATATATATATATATATTATACAAATGTTGACTGCTTTGAGGGGCACGGTGAACACTATGGCATAAGGTGAGCTCGCAACTGTGAAATGTCCCGAGACGACAGTCGAGGGGCATGGCACATTTGCAAGATCACCGAGAGCCATGGTTTTCACCGTGACGCTAAAAAGAAACAGCCAACATTTGTTTTATATACTGCATCTTTCGTTAACTCAAAAATTAATTTCAAAGACAGATAAAATACTGTACCGTATACGTAATTCTCATCGTTTGCTCTTTCAAAATTTCGTTCGGTGTTCATGGATAATACATGAATGATATGATGCCGGCCGCGCGCCCGCGTATCTCAATTGCCATAGCTACGCGCGTAAAATTAACCTAGCGCCTACGCGCAGCGGTTTTAGCTAGCTAGCCTATACCCTAGCCCTTGCCTGCACGGTATTTTTTAGGGGGTAACTTGCATAAATTTGCATTGTGAATATTTCCCGGTCAATATTTTTTACTATACCGCCCATTATTCCGTAATGAATTTTATGCTCGCAAATTCGACCAATCAGAGGCCTATAATCTAGACATGCAGTATATAAAGATAAATTATCCCAACTTGTTGTATTAACATGAAATCTATGTGTAACCCTACATATACGTCAACCGGGCATCATTGAAACCTGGTATATTAACCCTAACGCTAACCCTAAATTCAAAACAATAAATAACTAATTAAACTAATGACTAATGATCAAACCGTTTGTTTCTTGAGATGCTTTTATCTTTCCTCTGCTGGCAAACGTACGTAGAGGGCAGTGATTATTTTGTTCGCATATCAATTCCTTTGCGCTCCTTTTGGGAGATCAACCGACCCGCGCGCATTTTATATTACATGACATATGGTAAAATTCTCGACATCTTTTTACACTTTTCTTTACCATTAAAAATCGAAATTGAGAATAATATCCTCAATCGAGATATGAGAAGAAGGAAACATTTCCTTTACATTCCATGTAAAACCATGCCCTTACTTGAAAAAAAAACCTCCGTCACTTTGACGTTGAACTTTACAATCCATTTAAAAAAAATTACTCTCTCATACACAATGTCAATGGATCGGTCGCACTGTGCTCGATTGCCTTTCAATAAACCAATCTTTAACTTTGCAGCAACGCGTTTTGCGTCAAATTTGTAAATCCTCAATCACAGACAATGACATATGATACGTAAGCTTTTCATACATATAAATTTCATTTTGATTGATTCATTTTTAGCTCCGTCAATTTTCATGTCAAATCATGCTTCATGTCCCATTTTAGAAGCCCGACCCAGGGTTTTGTGCCAGCTAGCCCTGTATGCATGTACGTAATTCTATGCATACACATATAACTGAACATGCATAAGTACAGTACATGTACACACGCAGCGCAGCGCGTACGAGCGCACTGCACTACATTTCATTGGGTCAGTACCATTATGAAAATAGGGGAACAATGAGTGGGATGGGTTTAGTGCCGTCACAATAAACTTGCGCATTACACGCGTACGTATAATTAGAGCAATTTATGCACCCCCAAGAAATAATGAATACAGCCCGACCTCTCTACACACAGAACTGCACAGATACCGCACAGTCCGGTCAAGGCGGTACGCGTAGCGTTAAACTGCCAAATTTACAGAAATTGTGAGGAGCGCTTTTGCTATGAAAGGAATTGATATGATCGTTAACAGGACACGAAAATGTCCTGCTAATGACCATGTCTACCTTAATGACTCATTTTTTCACTACATGTGTCCGTATAATGACGCCGTCAGGTAAATATATGTATATCTATAAATATATAGACACATACTAAAAAAAGAATACGGAATAAATACTTCATTTCAATTTCAATTCTACCGTCAGTTCTACCCAGCTTGTCCCATCGGCCTAACGCGACAGCAATTGGAACGTCCTACGTAGTTTTCCGGTGGCAAGATGAACATACTGGCGATGGGCCCATATGTGCCTATGCAATATTGATAGAAGGAGCTTCAGCGACGATATCCCATCGTGGTTGGCGGTTGGTTTTGTGTCCGCTCAACAAGGTTCCCTGCCCAGAGAAGGGCTTACATTCAATGTAACTGGCCTGGAACCCGATACGGACTACCAGGTCTCGGTGAGACCTGTTCTTTGCGATGGGGCAAGGACATCTGAACTTGGCGAGGGGCCGATACTTTCTCTAACAACGCCCTCCATTGGTGAGTCTTTCAACTTTTTGTATATTTTATTCGAGTCTATCGTCGCATATCTGATGTGTGGGCATGTGATTTTAGTCCAACGTCGTATATAGATTCGAGTTAAGGAATGTTATTATTATTGTCATAATGTGTTTATAATTACATGTACCATTATTACTATCATTCTTTTTATTATTATTACCATAAGTAGTAGTAGTAGTAGTACCTTCTCGTTAATGTGCCCAAATAGTATTATTTTTCTGTTTCGATTGCGTCAGTAGGCTCAAGTTTCTTCACCAACGTTTTGATTAGTATGGTCGTGTATGTGCTATGGCAGGAGAGGTGTTTCACATTTGAAGTTTCTGCTTGAAGACTGCACTAGAGGTAGAAATAACTGTTTCCTCCTTGAGTAGGTTCCAATCCTTGATCATTTGGGAAACGCTGCTCAGTTGCTTGTAGTCGTTGGATTAATTCGATTAGAAGGATGTCCCCTTTACGGTACGGATCCAATGAACTACTGGCATACTCCAAGATGGGTCTGACCAGGGTTTTGTATGCGGACTCTTTGATGGCCTTGGTACAGAACCAGAGGTTTCTCCTTAGAAAGCCAAGTATCTTGTTGGCTTTAGAGGTGAGCTTCTTGAAGTGAGTGTCCCATCTCAGCTTGTCGATTTCCACACCGAGGTAGGGATAAGAGCAAACTTCTTGAAGTGGTTGCCCACAGAAGGTGTAGTTCTTATTCGGCGGGTTCCGATTGTTGGAGATCTTCATGACAAAAAATTTGGCTGGATTGAAAGAAATGGCCCATTTGTTCTGCCAAGCTTCGAGTTGATGGAGATATTCATGCAGGTATCCAAGTCTTCTCGGTAATTGCCGTTTGTATAGATGATACAATCATCGGCGAAAAGTTTTGCAGTGCTGCGAAGATTGTCTGGCAAGTCATTAATGAACAGCAATAACATCAGTGGGCCGAGTACCGTTCCTTGTGGTACGCCTGACAAGGCTCTCTAAGGTTTTGATAAAATGCCATTGCAGACTACCTTCTGCGCCCTTGCTGTAAGGGAAATGTCTCAGCCACTGTAGCAGTGGACCTTTAATTCCATGATGGTCTAATTTCCCAATCAATCTTTCGTGGGTCACCTTGTCAAACGCCTTGGCAAAGTCAAGGATTGCCATGTGAATTGTTTCTCCATTCTCCACAAGTCATGGGTAGTAAGGACCAACTGTGTAATTGTAGAGTGTTTAGCCCTGAAACCATGTTGGTTATCTACCAGGATACCATGGGCCTTTAGATGCTTCATTATGTGACAGTGGATGATATGTTCCAATATCTTGCTGACCACACTTGTTAGGGAAACTCCCCGATAGTTGGCAGGTTCTTCCTTGGCCCCTTTTTTGTAGATGGCACAGACATTGGCATCTCTCCACCGTGATGGGAAAACTCCTTCATCCACCGATGACTGAACGATGTCTGTCAACACCGGAGTGATTTTTTCTGCACACAAATAAAGCATCCATGGTGAAATACCATCTGGTCCAGGAGCTTTTTGGGGTTTGACCTTTTAAATCTGCTTCAGAACACCCTCACTCTTTATGGACAAGGTTGGTATGTCAGGATCACTGCCCCCTCCCAGGGTTGGAACGTCTAATGTATCTTCAATGTCGAATACACTAGCAAATTGGTTGCTGAGAGCCTCTGCTTTTTCCACGTCATCGCTGATGATTTTGTTAGAAACCTTGAGGTCAGCCGTATCAACCTCTTTATGTCTCGTTTTCTTGACAAAGGACCAGAAGGCCTTCGGATTCTCTACCATACAGTGAAACAGGTTATTGACACGTAGTTCCGCTTAGAATGGTTAAGTTCTCTTCGAGAGAGTGACTGAAGATCCTGTAGATCTCCCATTCTTTTTGATCCCCAGATTTGTTGGCTTTGTTGTACAGCTTTGGTTTTTTACTACAGAGTCGTCTGTGTTTTCTTTCAAACCATGGGAGATTTTTTTTGTTAGAGGACTTTGATGGAACATGCTCAACCACGACTAGTTTGAGCTTGCTCTCAAACAAGTCCTATACCTCCTGAACAGATTTCCTAGAAGTTTCTAGGAAGGCATCACTAAAGTCACTCATTTCCTGTCTAATTTTCCCAACATTTGCCTTTTGTCTGAGGTAGATTTTACGAGTAGGAGTCTTGCTCTTCCTAACCCCTACATTGAGTTCGACCAGAACTACATGGTGATCACTCAGACCAGGTATGACCAAGACCTCGTCCATGAGGGGGAATTGTTACTAAAATCAAGTCGAGTGTATTGTTCAATCTTGTTGGCTGCATTACCTTCTGTTCCAAACCGTAAACTTGAGTGGTTTGCAGCAGTTTATCAGCTGACTATTTGGATACAGAGTGGTTGAGTACGGTTAAACTAGTAAGCCAATCGATGTTGGTGTTGATTGAAGTCGCCTCGTAGCACAATGTCTCTAAGTTTGGCGCAGTTGTTTATCAACTCCAATGAAGCAGCTAACGTATCCGCAGTTTCTATGTCGTCGTGCTTTGGTTTATACAAGGTCCCGAAGAGTATTGGGCGCTTTCCGCGAATGTCTAGTTGGCACCACATGATCTCACAATTGGTTTCGAGATCTTCTCTACGCTTTACAGGAAGATCCTTTCTGTATGCAAAGAATACTCCACCATGTTGTCTGATGGTAGAAATTCAGCACTGTTAATAGATGGATCCAACCAGGTTTCAGTACCATGTATAAAGTCTGGTTGTAATTTGTGGATTATTGCTATCCATTCAGCACGTTTATTCATAATGATTTAAAAATTGATATTCAGTGATCTAAATTTGTCCCGCTTCTTCAGCTTGGACCACTTGAATTTGAGTAAGGATCCGTTGTCTCTTTTCTCATTGTCTCTGCCGAAGTCACAATCATTCTTGTCACCGCTGTCGTCTTCATCAGCTTCCCCTTCGTCCGATGATCGAGGAAGAGGAGTTTGAGGAGTTAATAGCCTCGCGTAAAGGGCAAACCCAGCTGAACGACGTATCAACGAGATTGTCATAAGTGGCATTGTCAACTCCTGCGCACTGACTGTGGGTCCATCACATTCCAGGCCACGTTGACCGTACTTGACATTGTTGTTGCACACAGTGCAATGGGCTAAACAGTCTTGCAATACCATGGTTTGCCATTCACGATTGCTCTGAATTCTGCCGAACTTACTCAACAGCAACTGGCGTGATAATTCTGGCCGCAGTCATAGCGTGATATCCATCTGCGATTACCACTTCCCTTCCGGTGGCAAATTCCACATTCTCTATCCTGACGGGGTGATTTTGGTAAAATGTTTGTGTAGTGAAGAATATAGAAGTAGTTTAAAGCTTGGTGAATCCAGTGAGTTCTAGAGTAGAAAAAACGTAGCACGTTGCACCAAACACAAATTCACAACAATTGTAATATAGACTCTATATATACTAATGTCACGTGAAGTACACAGTGTCATTACAAAAAAAGGAACATAGTTTCTTAAAAGGATGAGGGGCTGCTACTCTCCACTGCTGGCTGGATTTTTAAAAGCGGGAACATCCAAGGAATAAATAGTTAAAAACATTTAGAAGTCTATATAAAATACAAATGTTTCACCACAGACATAACATGCATTAAAATGATGAATGATAACATGTGTGATATTTGCGATCTTTCTTGATTTTTCCTCTGCTGCAGCTACTATAATGCAAATTCCATACACAGTTAAAAAGGGCTTTGATATAGCCCGCGTAATGAAGTAGAAGAATGAAGATGACATGACTTGCTACTAAAATCCAAGATGGCGGTTTTCAAGATGGCGTCTCTTCCTTTCTGAGATGATTGATAAAAATATTCAAACGCAAATCCTCTTTCCTAAAAACAAAATGATGATGCTAAAATCACATTAAAACAGGTACAGATGATAACAATCTTTCCGTCAGCTCCTTTCTTGTTGGTCATCGACTGTGTGAAGTTTCACTTGCTGGCCTGGTAGTACTCCAATTGCCGCCGCTTTGATATCCCATTTGCACGTACACGTAGATCTTCTCTCCATGTAGGGTCGATGTGGAAAATCCTATCAGATTTGGCCAAAATGATGAAATACGTAGTTCCTAAGAAACACTAATGTTTGTAGATGAAGAAATACACAAAAATGTTGAACGGGGATGAAGGATGTTACAGATGGAGATAGATTTAGATGTATCTTAAAGTTGAATCTCGGGAGCGATGTGAAAACACGTACTGTTAGCAAGACGGCCATACCCGCCCTTAAGTCTGGCGTGGAGAAGGGCAGACTGGTGCAGACAAGGGTCACTATACAGGCTAATCTCCATCGGAGCGATAAAGAATTTGAATGGCAAGTAAATAATACTGAGGCGTGTGAAAATCTCAATGTTACTAAGTTGTTTGTTTCATTATATAGTTCTGCCTACGTTGGTTGAAGCTCCTCAAAGTACAAACCTGTCCTCTAATAACGTGACCATCCGTTGGACCAATCAGCATCAAGGAGACGGGCCAATCTGTGGATACGGAATCAACATCAAGACAAACGACGACAAAGACCGCGGTGGTGATGATGACAGTGATCCATGGGGAAGCGTGGGGTACGTGTCGGTGGAGAGTGAGCCACAGTTCGATGTCGGTCATCTAGAGCCGAATACCACGTACCAAGTCGCAGTTTCTGTAATCAATTGCATATCTTCTCGGGAAGGTCCACGAGAACCAATACTGCAGTTCACCACCAAGACTGTGACAATTCCTGTGGTCGGTACGTTCAGCAGCTTTCAAAGCATGTCTTTAAAAGAAATGTTATACACAAATTACTTTCGAAAAATCAACGTAAAGCAATTTCCGAAGCCCAGCGTGTCACCTTTTGAAATGTACAAACATTAATTTGGTACATTACGTCATCCAAACATGATTCCTATTCGGTATAATGTACAATAGGATCTCAAAGTTGCCCTTGAATGTTCAAAAGTAGTGTTTAAACCAGAGGGTATTAATAACAGAGATTGTCGAGTCGCTAAAGAAGGCACGCAAGCACATTGCAGTAACGTATGGCAACATGGCGGGATTTAAGAAGTCCAGGGTATGACCCTTATCAAGACCTTTATTATTTCTTATTTTCTTTCTTTACGGCTTGCTTCAACCGTTGAATATAAAGTGTAATATCGCGGCATATCCCACTCTTATACAAAATTACGATCCAGGGCAAACAGGAATAAAATCTAACTGTATCAGAAAGTAGTAAGGATATGTTGGAAGTGGTGGAAATGGTATATATATATTTATAAAAGTGCGAGAATTCTCAGCTACTTCTCACGTTCCTAGACCATTTTCTTCACACCTATATATATATATATATATTATACAAATGTTGACTGCTTTGAGGGGCACGGTGAACACTATGGCATGAGGTGAGCTTGCAACTGTGATAAGTCCCGAGACGACAGTCGAGGGGCATGGCACAGTTGCGAGATCACCGAGAGCCATGGTTTTCACCGTGACGCTAAAAAGAAGCAGCCAACATTTGTTTTATATACTGCATCTTTCGTTAACTCAAAAATTAATTTCAAAGACAGATAAAATACTGTACCGTATACGTAATTCTCATCGGCCGCTCTTTCAAAATTTCGTTCGGTGTTCATGGATAATACATGAATGCTATGATGCCGGCCGCGCGCCCGCGTATCTCAATTGCCATAGCTACGCGCGTAAAATTAACCTAGCGCCTTCGCGCAGCGGTTTTAGCTAGCTAGCCTATACCCTAGCCCTTGCCTGCACGGTATTTTTTTTTTTTTTTTTTTTTTTTGGGGGGGGGGGGGGGGGTAACTTGCATAAATTTGCATTGTGAATATTTCCCGGTCAATATTTTTCACTATACCGCCCATTAGTCCGTAGTGAATTTTATGCTCGCAAATTTGACCAATCAGAGGCCTAGAATCTAGACATGCAGTATATAAAGATAAATTATCCCAACTTGTTGTATTAACATAAAATCTATGTGTAACCCTACATATACGTCAACCGGGCATCATTGAAACCTGGTATATTAACCCTTACGCTAACCCTAAATTCAAAACAATAAATAACTAATTAAACTAATGACTAATGATCAAACCGTTTGTTTCTTGATATGCTGTTATGTTTCCTCTGCCGGCAAACGTACGTAGAGGGCAGTGATTATTTTGTTCGATCGTTAACAGGACACGAAAATGCCCTGCTAATGACCATGTCTACCTTAATGACTCATTTTTTCACTACATGTGTCCGTATAATGACGCCGTCAGGTAAATATATATATATCTATAAATATATAGACACATACTGAAGAAAAAAAAATACGGAATAAATACTTCATTTAAATTTCAATTCTACCGTCAGTTCTACCCAGCTTGTCCCATCGGCCTAACGCGACAGCAATTGGAACGTCCTACGTAGTTTTCTGGTGGCAAGATCAACATACTGGCGATGGGCCCATATGTGCCTATGCAATTGATAGAAGGAGCTTCAGCGACGATATCCCATCGTGGTTGGCGGTTGGTTTTGTGTCCGCTCAACCAGGTTCCCTGTCCAGAGAAGAGCTTACATTCAATGTAACTGGCCTGTAACCCGATACGGACTACCAGGTCTCGGTGAGACCTGTTCTTTGCGATGGGGCAAGGACATCTGAACTTGGCGATGGGCCGATACTTTCTCTAACAACGCCCTCCATTGGTGAGTCTTTCAACTTTCTGTATATTTTATTCGAGTCTATCGTCGCACATCTGATGTGTGGGCATGTGATTTTAGTCCAACGTCGTATATAGATTCGAGTCAAAGAATGTTATTATTATTGTCGTAATTTGTTTATAATTACTTGTACCATTATTACTATCATTATTTTTATTATTATTACCATAAGTAGTAGTAGTAGTACCTTCTCATCAACGTGCCCAAATAGTATTCTTTTTCTGTTTCGGTTGCGTCGGTAGGCTCAGGGTTCTTCACCAATGTTTTGATTAGTATGGTCGTGTATGTGCTATGGCAGGAGAGGTGTTTCACATTTGAAGCTTCTGCTTGAAGACTGCACTGGAGGTAGACATAATTGTTTCCTCCTTGAGTAGGTTCCAATCCTTGATCATTTGGGAAACGCTGCTCTGTTGCTTGTAGTCGTTGGATTAATTCGATTAGAAGGATGTCCCCTTTACGGTACGGATCCAATGAACTACTGGCATACTCCAAGATGGGTCTGACCAGGGTTTTGTATGCGGACTCTTTGATGGCCTTGGTACAGAACCAGAGGTTTCTCCTTAGAAAGCCAAGTACCTTGTTGGCTTTAGAGGTGAGCTTCTTGAAGTGAGTGTCCCATCTCAGCTTGTCGATTTCCACACCGAGGTAGGGATAAGAGGAAACTTCTTGAAGTGGTTGCCCACAGAAGGTGTAGTTCCTATTCGGCGGGTTCCGATTGTTGGAGATTTTCATGACAGAACATTTGGCTGGATTGAAAGAAATGGCCCATTTGTTCTGCCAATTTTCTAATTGATGGAGATCTTCTTGCAGGTATCCAAGTCTTATCGGGAATTGCCATTTGTATAAATGATACAATCATCGGCGAAAAGTTTTGCAGTGCTGCGAAGATTGTCTGGTAAGTCATTAATGAACAGCAAGAACATCAGTGGGCCGAGTACCGTTCCTGGTGGTACGCCTGACAAGGCTCTCTAAGGTTTTGATGAAATGCCATTGCAGACTACCTTCTGCGTCCTTGCTGTAAGGGAAATGTCTCAGCCACTGTAGCAGTGGACCTCTAATTTCATGATGGTCTAATTTCCCAATCAATCTTTCGTGGGTCATCTTGTCAAACGCCTTGGCAAAGTCAAGGATTGCCATGTGAGTTGTTTCTCCATTCTCCACATTTTTAGTCAAGTCATGGGTAGTAAGGACCAACTGTGTAATTGTAGATTGTTTAGCCCTGAAACCATGTTGGTTATCTACCAGGATACCATGGGCCTCTAGATGCTTCATTATGTAAGAGTAGATGATATGTTCCAATATCTTGTTGACCACACTTGTTAGGGAAACTCCCCGATAGTTGGCAGGTTCTTCCTTGGCCCCCTTTTTTGTAGATGACACAGACATTGGCATCTCTCCACTGTGATGGAAGAACTCCTTCATCCACCGATGACTGAACGATGTCTGTCAACACCGGAGTGATTTCTTCTGCACACAAATAAAGCATCCATGGTGAAATACCATCTGGTCCAGGAGCTTTGTTGGGTTTGACCTTTTTCAATCTGCTTCAGAACACCCTCGCTCTTTATGGACAAGGTTGGTATGTCAGGATTACTGCTCCCTCCCAGGGTTGGAACGTCTAATGTATCTTCAATGTTGAATACACTAGCAAATTGGTTGCTGAGAGCTTCTGATTTGTCCAAGTCATTGCTGATGATTTTGTTAGAAACCTTGAGGTCAGCCATATCAACCTCTTCTTGTCTCGTTTTCTTGACAAAGGACCAGAAGGCCTTCGGATTCTCTACCATACAGTGAGACAGGTTATTTGACACGTAGTTCCGCTTAGAATGGTTAAGTTCTCTTCGAGAGAGTGACTGAAGATCCTGTAGATCTCCCATTCTTTTTGATCCCCAGATTTGTTGGCTTTGTTGTGCAGCTTTGGTTTTTTACCACAGAGTCGTCTGTGTTTCCTTTCAAACCATGGGATTTTTTTTTTGTTAGAGGACTTTGATGGAACATGCTCAACCACGACTAGTTTGAGCTTGCTCTCAAACAAGTCCTATTTCTCCTGAACAGATTTCCTTGAAGTTTCTAGGAAGGCATCACTAAAGTCACTCATTTCCTGTCTAATTTTCCCAACATTTGCCTTTTGTCTGAGGTAGATTTTACGAGTAGAAGTCTTGCTCTTCCTCACCCCTATATTGAGTTCGACCAGAACTACATGGTGATCACTCAGACCAGGTATGACCAAGACCTCGTCCATGAGGGGGAATTGTTACTAAAACCAAGTCGAGTGTATTGTTCAATCTTGTTAGCTGCATTACCTTCTGTTCCAAACCGTAAACTTGAGTGGTTTGCAGCAGTTTATCAGCAGACTATTTGGATACAGAGTGGTTGAGTACGGTTAAACTAGTAAGCCAATCGATGTTGGTGTTGATTGAAGTCGCCTCGTAGCACAATGTCTCTAAGTTTGGCGCAGTTGTTTATCAACTCCAATGAAGCAGCTAACGTATCCGCAGTTTCTATGTCGTCGTGCTTTGGTTTATACAAGGTCCCGAAGAGTATTTGGCGCTTTCCGCGAATGTCTAGTTGGTACCACATGATCTCACAATTGGTTTCTAGATCTTCTCTACGCTTTTCAGGAAGATCCTTTCTGTAGGCAAAGAATACTCCACCATGTTGTCTGATGGTAGAAATTCAGCACTGTTAATAGATGGATCCAACCAGGTTTCAGTACCATGTATGAAGTCTGGTTGTAATTTGTGGATCATTGCTATCCATTCAGCACGTTTATTCATAATGCTTTGAAAGTTGATATTCAGTGATCTAAATTTGTCCCGCTTCTTCAGCTTGGACCACTTGAATTTGAGTAAGGATCCGTTGTCTCTGTTCTTATTGTCTCTGCCGAAGTCACAATCATTCTTGTCACCGCTGTCGTCTTCATCAGCTTCCCCTTCGTCCGATGAGGAAGAGGAGTTTGAGGAGTTAATAGCCTCGCGTAAAGGGCAAACCCGGCTGAACGACGTATCAACGAGATTGTCATAAGTGGCATTGTCAACTCCTGCGCACTGACTGTGGGTCCATCACATTCCAGGCCACGTTGACCGTACTTGACATTGTTGTTGCACACAGTGCAATGGGCTAAACAGTCTTGGCAATACCATGGTTTTCCATTCACGATTGCTCTGAATTCTGCCGAACTTACTCAACAGCAACTGGCGTGATTATTCTGGCCGCAGTCATAGCGTGATATCCATTTGCGATTACCACTTCCCTTCCGGTGGCAAATTCCACATTCTCTATCCTGACGGGGTGATTTTGGTAACATGTTTGTGTAGTGAAGAATATAGAAGTAGTTTAAAGCTTGGTGAATCCAGTGAGTTCTAGAGTAGAAAAAACGTAGCACGTTGCACCAAACACAAATTCACAACGATTGTAATATAGACTCTATATATATATACAAATGTCACGTAAAGTACACAGTATCATTAAAAAAAGGAACAAAGTTACTTAAAATCATGAGGGGCTGCTACTCTCCACTGCTGGCTGGACTTTTAAAAGCGGGAACATCCAAGAAAAAAAAAATTAAAAACATTTAGAAGTCTATATAAAATACAAATGTTTCAGCACAGACATAACATGCATTAAAATGGTGAATGATAACATGTGTGATATATCCGGTCTTTCTGGATTTCTCATCCTCAAAATACTCTTTTTCCTCTGCTGCAACTACTTTAATGCAAATTCCATACACAGTTAAATAGGGCTTTGATATAGCTCGCATAATGAAGGTGAAGAATATGGAGTGAAGAGATGAAATGACTTGCTACTAAAATCCAAGATGGCGGCTTTCAAGATGGCGTCTCTTCCTTTCTGAGATGATTGATAAAAATATTCAAATGCAAATCCTCTTTCCTAAAAACAAAATGATGATGCTAAAATCACATTAAAACAGGTACAGATGATAACAATCTTTCCGTCAGCTCCTTTCTTGTTGGTCATCGACTGTGTAAAGTTTCGCTTGCTGGCCTGGTAGTACTCCTATTGCCGCCGCTTTGATATCCCATTTGCACGTACACGTAGATCTTCTCTCCATGTAGGGTCGATGTGGAAAATCCTATCAGATTTGGCCAAAATGATGAAATACGTAGTTCCTAAGAAACACTAATGTTTGTAGATGAAGAAATACACAAAAATGTTGAACGGGGATGAAGGATGTTACAGATGGAGATAGATTTAGATGTATTTTTAAGTTGAACCTCGGGAGCGATGTGAAAACACGTACTGTTAGCAAGACGGCCATACCCGCCCTAAAGTCTGGCGTGGAGAAGGGCAGACTGGTGCAGACAGGGGTCACTATACAGGCTAATCTCTGTCGGAGCGATAAAGAATTTGAATGGCAAGTAAATAAAACTGTGGCGTGTGAAAATCTCAATGTTACTAAGTTGTTTGTTTCATTATATAGTTTTGCCTACGTTGGTTGAAGCTCCTCAAAGTACAAACCTGTCCTCTAATAACGTGACCATCCGGTGGACCAATAAGCATCAAGGAGACGGGCCAATCTGTGGATACGGAATCAACATCAAGACAAACGACGACAAAGACCGCGGTGGTGATTATGACAGTGATCCATGGGGAAGCGTGGGGTACGTGTCGGTGGAGAGTGAGCCACAGTTCGATGTCGGTCATCTAGAGCCGAATACCACGTACCAAGTCGCAGTTTCTGTAATCAATTGCATATCTTCTCGGGAAGGTCCACGAGAACCAATACTGCAGTTCACCACCAAGACTGTGACAATTCCTGTGGTCGGTACGTTCAGCAGCTTTCAAAGCATGTCTTTAAAAGAAATGTTATACACAAATTACTTTCGAAAAATCAACGTAAAGCAATTTCCGAAGCCCAGCGTGTCACCTTTTGAAATGTGCAAACATTAATTTGGTGCATTACGTCATCCAAACATGATTCCTATTCGGTATAATGTACAATAGGATCTCAAAGTTGCCCTTGAATGTTCAAAAGTAGTGTTTAAACCAGAGGGTATTAATAACAGAGAGTGTCGAGTCGCTAAAGAAGGCACGCAAGCACATTGTAGTAACGTATAGCAACATGGGCGATTTAAGAAGTCCAGGGTATGACCCTTATCAAGACCTTTCTTATTTCTTATTTTCGTTCTTTACGGCTTGCTTCCACCGTTGAATATAAAGTGCATTATCGCGGCATATCCCACACTTATATACGAGGGGCATAGCACAGTTGCTAGATCACCGAGAGCCATGGTTTTCACCGTGACGCTAAAAAGAAGCAGCCAACATTTGTTTGATATACTGCATCTTTCGTTAACTCAAAAATTAATTTCAAAGACAGATGAAATACTGTACCGTATACGTAATTCTCATCGATCGCTCTTTCAAAATTTCGTTCGATGCTCATGGATAATATAATCATGTATGATATGATGCCGGCCGCGCGCCCGCGTATCTCAATTGCCATAGCTACGCGCTTAAAATTAACCTAGCGCCTACGCGCAGCGGTTTTTAGCTAGCTAGCCTATACCCTAGCCCTTGCCTGCGCGGTATTTTTTGTTGGGTAACTTGCATAAATTTGCATTGTGAATATTTCCCGGTCAATATTTTTCACTATACCACCCATTAGTCCGTAGTGAATTTTATGCTCGCAAATTTGACCAATCAGAGGCCTAGAATCTAGACATGCAGTATATAAAGATATATCATCCCAACTTGTTGTATTAACATGAAATCTATGTGTAACCCTACATATACGTTAACCGGGCATCATTGAAAACTGGTATATTAACCCTAACGCTAACCCTAAATTCAAAACAATAAATAACTAATTAAACTAATGACTAATGATCAAACCGTTTGTTTCTTGAGAGGCTTTTAAGTTTCCTCTGCCGGCAAACGTACGTAGAGGGCAGTGATTATTTTGTTCGATCGTTAACAGGACACGAAAATGTCCTGCTAATGACCATGTCTACCTTAATGACTCATTTCTCCTCTACATATGTCCGTATAATGACGCCGTCAGCTAAATATCTATAAATATATAGACACATACTGAAAAAAGAATACGGAATAAATACTTCTTTTCAATTTCATTTCTACCGTCAGTTCTACCCAGCTTGTCCCATCGGCCTAACGCGACAGCAATTGGAACGTCCTACGTAGTTTTCCGGTGGCAAGAACAACATACTGGCGATGGGCCCATATGTGCCTATGTAATTGATAGAAGGAGCTTCAGCGACGATATCCCATCGTGGTTGGCGGTTGGTTTTGTGTTCGCTCAACCAGGTTCCCTGTCCAGAGAAGAGCTTGCATTCAATGTAACTGACCTGGAACCCGAGACGGACTACCAGGTCTTGGTGAGACCTGTTCTTTGCGATGGGGCAAGGACATCTGAACTTGGCAAGGGGCCGAAACTTTCTCTAACAACGCCCTCCATTGGTGAGTCTTTTTTCAATTATTTGTAGGTTTGGTTCGAGTCCCTCGTCGCACATCTCATGTGTGGACATGGGACTTTAGTCCAACGTTGTATATCGATTCCAGCCATAGAAATATCATTATTATTATTATCATTATCATTTTTATAAACACCACTTACATTATCATTATTACCACGATCATTATTATTATCTTTATTATTATCATTATTATTATTATCATTATTAATATTATTATTATCAATAGTAATAGTATTAGTAGTAGTAGAAACTTCTTGGTTATGTGCTTTAACAGTATTTATTATATCCCGCATACTAAGAATCTTGCAATCTGATTAGTCTAAACGAGGTCACATGATAAAAGATAGATAAGTACTATTTACCAGCGATAGGACTTTTGTAAGGGAATTTTTTGCTGCTGCCCCACTTGCCATTGAATACGCGTAGCAAAGTAGGTTACTCGAAATGTCAATGTCAATGTCAAATGAGCGCGCATCGACTTTGTTACATTGTATGCATGTTGCGCTTTGAAAAATCTAGCTGAAGCTAAACTGTCTGCAAAATCAAAATCAGTGTTAAATCAGTGTAAAATTCCCTTTAAATAGACCTTATTGCCGATGTGGGATATCAAACAAATATTAACCTCCTTTACTCGGGCAATGGATACAAACTATCATCGCCGAGGTGATCTCGGGGGGCTACTATCATCCCGAGCCGCAAGGCGAGGGATGATGGTAGCCCCGAGATCACCGTTACCCTCGTAGTCGATTAATATTTGCTTACTGTACAAGCAGATTTCTATCGGAGCGATATATAGGGTTAAAATAGCGGATAAACAATACTAGGCGTGCCAATATCTCAATTTTACCAAATTGTTTATCACTAATTTCGATAGTTCTGCCCACCTTGATGGAAGCTCCTCAAATCGCAAACAGATCCTCTACAATTGTGGCCATCCGGTGGACCAATCAGCATGAAGGAGACGGGCCAATCTGTGGTTACGAAATCAACATCAAGAAAAACGACGATGATGATGATGACAGTGATCCATGGCTCAGCGTCGGCTTCGTGTCGGTGGAGAGCGAGCTACAGTTCGATGTCGGTCACCTAGAGGCAATTACTACGTACCAAGTCGCAGTTTCTGCAATCAATTGCATATCTGCTCGGGAAGGCCCACGGGAACCAATACTGCAGTTCACCACCACGGACGTCACACTTCCTGTGGTCGGTACGTTCAGCGATCAAAGCATGTCACAACATTTAATGTTAAACACATGATTGCCACACCTGTCGAAAAATCAACCTAACGCTATTTCAGTACCAGTGTGTGTGTCACCTTTCGAAATGCGCACATGATGCATTGCGTTGTCCTTGATTTGATTAAACCAAGCACAGGCGTGGATAACGTTGTCATCTTATAATTGCTGCGTATACAGTTTAGTGTTTTTTGTTTTTTGTTTTTTGTTTAACCCAATCTATTGGGGCCTCGGCTTTGGGCGGACGACGGGCGGGGGTAGGGGTTATGGTCATTATCGTCCATCGGCATCATAAGGAAGGAGGGGGTGGAACCGGTATCAATCGATGGATCAAATAGGAATTAAGAAGGCGATTTGTTAGGGGGAGGGGGGGGGGGGGGGGAGGTCATTTATTACACTCTCTTTCCACATCCCTTATTTTTTCTCTTTCCCCACTTTTTAATAGGTTTAGCCCCTCGTTGGCACATGCCTATGCCCCCCCCCCCCCGTACGGAAAGCTGCAATACAAGCGATAAAAACTCAGCCATTAATCCCAAATCTTTACTGAAGAGATACATAAATGAGTTGACTGTGTAAGTTTGCGATTGTTTGAAGGACTTGCGCAGTAGCGTACGCAGGATTTTTTTTCAACGGGGGGGGGGGGGGGGGGGGGGGGGGGGGGGGGGGGGGGCTTAATTTGAAAATTGCGCCGAAAATTTCGCAACGACTCAGCCAGCCGCTGAATAAGCGGGGGGGGGGGGGGGTAAGAGCACTTTTTTCCCCACTTGAAAAAAAACTGAGGGGGAGGGGTTTGCTCTAAAAAACACCCCCCCCCCCCCCCCCCCCCCCCCCCCCCCCCCCCCCCCCAGCTGTGTACGCGCCTGGACTTCCATATGCCATATGGGCAATTTTGCACAAAATGATATGTAACAAATTATTATCAGAGGTGTTGTAGTTGAGTGGTTTGAGCACTAGAAACGCAAAGGTCGTGGGTTTGATCCCCAAAGCTAAAAATCTACATTTTCATCACTCCATACCCTGGAGAGAAACGTGGTCCTGGTAGAATTATGAAACCCATTGTGATAAAAATCTTGGCAGGAGTGGCTGGAATAATCCCCAGGGAGTGGAAGTGGTGCTCATTGTGTTAGTGTATGAAGCTGATGACCGGGGAAATAATCATGAGTACCTGCAAAGCGCATAATCAGTATTCCATATTAAGCGCTCTGTAAATCCAGTTGATTTATTATTTTTTATTTAATTATCATTATCATCATTGTTATTGTTAATTCTATCGTTATTACTATTATACTTATTGTTATAACTATTACTACTATTACTATTATTTCAATTCAAAACAGAGGTACGGACCACAGGCGATTACTGCAAGTGGACTTTGTCGGCTGGTGTGCCCATTATAGTCGTTGTAGCACTACTGCTTATTTTGGCGTGTATTTTAGGGTGAGTTAATACGCTTGTTCGTAGATTCAATCTGCGCATTGATAGATCAAGGTCATTTATACCAACATTGCAAAACCCACCGAGACGAATAATGGATACGTGCTAGAGAAAATTATGTAATCGTTATCCATTTATTCACAGACGGTACACTCCATGGAACAGAGATGAAAGTATTCTTCTCAATAGGGCAACGAAAAGGTATTAACGATGCACATCCGTGACTAAGGCAGTCATTATTCTAAATTGCACAAAATGGGACTTTTCCATGTGTTAGAAGATCTATGTATATTACGAACTTGAGTAAAAACCAATGGGTACAATAGCGACACAAGTATTTACGAAAAAACAAAGGAGTGACCACTTCTTTCAAAGTGTCAGATTGTAACTTTCAGCATGCTGGATTCAACATTTATAGTGTTGGATCCAGCATGTTCAAAGTGTTAATCTACCATTTTGAAAAAGAGGCCACTCCTTAGTTTTCAGAGTGTAGTAGTATTAGTAGTAGTAGTCATGGAACAGCGGCGGATTCTAGGGCCGAATCGGATACGCCCCCTTCTTTTCGACAGCCTCCCAAATAGAGAAAAGGGATAAAATAGAGAGCGTTGGAAGAAAAAGGAGAAAAAGAGAAAAGAATGTAGAAGAGAAGTAGAGAGAAGGGGGATAGGAAAAAGAGAAAGAGAGAGAGAGAGAGAGGAGGCGGGGGAGGGGAGGAAAGAAAAGAAGAATAATAATAAGAAAAAACCCGCTACCCTTCGGGTCGGAAACCAAGGCGGGGGCCGAATCACCTCCCCCCCCCCCCCCCCTTTGGCGACCTCAAACAAAGGGATAAGGAGAGAGTAACGGAAGAAAGAAGGAGAAAAGAAAGATAAAAGAAGGTAAAAGAGAAAAGAATGTAAAGGAATAAAGAGAGGGAAGGGAGAGAGAGGGGGAAAACAAAATCGCTACCCAGAGTAACGGGTCGGCGATGAATTGGATGGGATATGGAGACCGGAGGCCCCACTCCACCGCAAGCCATGCGGCCGAGTAGTAGAAGTAGTAGCTGTAGAAGCATCAGCAGCAGCACCAGAAGCACCAGGGTATCAAAATTGGTAGGCTGCCATTTACAAAAACATCAGAAAATAAAATGGCTCCAGTTGATATGTAGTTGAGGGTAGACAGAGTTTCCATTTACACATATCTTCATTTTTTAATTTGATTATAACATAACGTCGCTCTAATGTTTCTCTTCACTAGCATCAGGCACTATCGCTCCAAGAGGGAAGATAGTGTGAAAGACCGGTATACACCTACCATGCCTACGCATTCCTCTAACCTGTGGACCGCATCGGCACCAAGCAATGTGTATGCTATCGGCAATGATAATGACGAGCACCCTTACGAAGACATAGGACAAATGGCTCTCACAGATGGAACTGAGAAAGGATAAATTGTCATAGAGATCAACGAGTGAATTCAAGTGATTATCGGACAAATGTTACAAAGGCAAAGATCAATCGGTGAAAAGAAGTTTATAGTCGTGTACATTGTACGCTCTGCATTTCTTCACCTCATTGGAACCACTAACGGCAGGAAAAATTCATACAAATCCAGAAGATTCTCATCTGCAGCTTCACGTTTTTGGAATTCCCTTCCCAAAACCGTCCGAACTATCACCAAATAAACTATCGTTAAAGTAGATATTCATTGATTTAAAAAAAACTAACTTTATTTTCATTATTGTAAAGTTGAAACTTTGATTCGACAATTACAAAACGCTTAAATACAGCCCCGGCATAGCACCGTGAAGAGCTCTCCGAACGCTGCTGAGATGTGTGAGGTCACAGTATGGACATGATTTGCACAAGCAGACGATGTCACATGAGATCTCACACATTTTCAGTGCCTGTGTTTTCATCTTCTCTTGAGTTTTTTCTGTTACTTCACTACCGTTAGGCTAAATGTATAATATATTGCCTCATTCTAAACCCCGCGCATGGTTTTATTTTGATGACAAATGCAGCGATACAAAAATAAAGGAATCTGTCGCTTGTAAACAAAATCAGACGCCATTGTATATTCAGCTGCACACACCGCGGTATGTTCGGCGTTTCAAGAGGGAACAAATGCCGTCCTTATTATCATTCCGGGGGTTTTCAATTTGAAAGTCTGGTTTCTTTGATTGTTAATTAACTCCTATCCTGTGTATAAACAAGCAAAATATGTTAGTTATCAGAATCGGGTCATATCCCCTTTTTAATGGTTTGACATGCCATTACATTTATATACACTTAACTCATTATAATCTGACAAATAATCGCTTTGCAATTATGTTCATTCTTTATGGGATGTCGTCTGCTTGGGCAGTATTGGTCCATATAGTGACGTCATTAAAACATCGTTATTTTTCCGGCGAATCTCTCGTATATCCCAGCTGCTATGGAGGTGATTGTATTTGTATTTTTATAAATCATCCAATATGTAGTTGACCTTTAAACTTGTACGATGACCATCTGTTAGCTTACCAGTTTCTAGTGATACATTAGATGACATATTTGTGATTTTCTTTGAATTTCACCTTTAAAGGCATCGTTTAAACATGTATATTACTGTAGTTTTTCATAATTCGCTTGCATTTCTCTGTAATTGATGTTGATACGTGTTATGATTAATCTTGTTCTTATTTTGAAATTTCTTTAGTTCATGAACTAGTTTAGTTGTCTGTAATTTTGTTGCTTAATTATAATTGTAAAGCGCATTAATATTTTCTCTGAAAATTAAATGCGCTATGGAAGCCTATGTTATTTTTTTGTATTATTATTACATATATCCCAGTCTTATTATAAACAAAATTCTCAGTGTTTAAATATATGTACAGTACTATGAAGTAGAGTCTGGTTATTATCAGAAGGGTTTAACGAAATGTAGGCCCCAATTGGAGATTTCTGAAGATGAAATGCGCTATAGAAGCTTAGGTTATGTTTTATTGGTATTGCAATAAAAACAAAATTAAAATATCAGTGTTTAAATATAATGTACAGTACTATGTAGTAGAGTTTGGAAAGAAGGGTTTAATGAAATGTATATAGGCCCCTTTTGCAGATTCCTGAAGATTAGATGCGCTATAGAAGCCTAGGTTATATTTTATTATTATGACATATATCCCAGTCTCATTAAAAAAACAATCTTAGTGTTTAAATATATGTACAGTACTATGTAGTAGAGTCTGGTAAGAAGGCTTGAACGAAATTTGTAGGCCCCTATTGGAGATGCAGTCACATTCATATTTTTGTATAATAATTTTTTTAATCCTTTTATATTGATACGAATTGATACGTTGTTATACATTTTATTTGTATATAGTCATTTGGCTATTTATCAGAATGTAGTTTTTATAAAAAAGATTTCATCATTTTCTTTTTTTAATCGAATATTGCTTATAGGTTTATGTATGATGATCGGACCAAAGTTCGTGGAGTTTTTAAAAACATTAGAAAATGTGATTTCGATCCTTAATTTCTTATATTCGACACAAATTTACTTAGTCAAGTTATTACCAAAAAGACTGCAAATTTTTGTAATAGAAATTGGTGCAACTAAAAAAATTCATCGTCAAAGAATTATGGAGATATCGCGATCTCAAAATTCGATGTCGGATGGAATGCGCTGCAACTGACGAAAAATTCACGAAAAACGAGACCACGGGATTTTACAGCTGATTTATCACAAAAAGCGATCAATTATTAAATAATAGCTTAAATTTTGCTAAATATCATACAATCAGTTGGTACCACTTTTTACTTACAATTTTGATGACATATCTGCTCTCAAAATAGATATTTCCAGACTTTCGCCGTTAAGTTCATATTTTGTCGGGACGCAAAAGACTGAACATTTGCCACTCTTTTGTCAATATTTTCATCATTTCACACCGAATTCCATAGAAAATTTCGTCTTTGGGTAATTTTAGGCTCCTCTTTCCATTGGTAGTAACAGATTTTCGAAATCTTACCGATTTTGTTGAGATAGCGAACTATGGTCACACTATCATCAGTCAATAATTATTTATTTTTTAAAAACAAATTAAAAACAAATTTCCATTCTTGAGCTACCAAAAGAATAATGGAAAATATTGCAAACTGTAACAAATGCAAATTTGAATAAAATGTGATAAGTATTTCTGTTTTGATCGCTTTTTTTTTTACTGATTGGCCTACATTAATTATACCGAATATACAATCTCAAAAGATTCATAAAGTGTCCATTAGTCACGTACGAATTACTTAAATCCTGTAGTAAATCGCTATATAATATCTGTCGACTAGCTTGGGAAAAGAATATGTGAGTGAGAAAATCGCCAAATTAATAGATGTGTGCTGTAGTCAGGATTGTTTGGTATATGAAGGAAATCATGTCGCAAACGAAAGTATATAGATTGAGTTTAGGTTTCAGTATGAGTTTGAGTTTATTGATAAAAAAAATAAGTAAAACATAATGTATCGAGCATGATTACATAAAATACAAGAATATTGTAAACATTGTTTTACAAAGTATGTTATATACAAATAAAATAAAAGATTAGCGGTGTACACTTTTGTTGTTAATTGGGATACAAGTAGTTAGCACAAGCCTTGGTACAGGGGCAAATCCAGGGTTTTGTAATAAACGGGGAGCAATAGTAGTAGGGATTTCAGTCCCCTCCCCCAGGCGCAGGAGGGGGGAGGGCAAATTTGAAATTATGCGAGCCAAATAATGGTACGTAAATGTGACCAGCAGTGGCGTAATGAGCAAAATGTTGGGGGGAGGGGGGGGGAGACAAAAATCCGCACCACCCCTCTCTTACATGCATGCCCCGCTGAACGTTTTTCAAAGTGGGTGGGGGAGGCTAAAGTATTTACGATCAGGTAGAGCGTAGCGTAACATGGCGTGGGTTCTAGGGACAAATCCTCGGCGGGGGGTCAAGGGGAGGAGCCCCCAGAAGCTCAGGGCGTAAGGGCATTTAATTACGGACAGATGAGCATATTTTTCTACGGATCGAGGGGGGGCGGGGGGTCCGGGCCCCTCCCCCGAGAAAAAAAATCAGGTAAAAACATCTATTTGTATAAAAAAAAAAAAAAAAAAAAAAGAAGATGGGCCCCCTCTCCAGGCGCTGAAGGGGAGGGGGGGGTGGTGGTTACAAAATGAGAACAATAATTAATCAATTTTCGGAGGCAAAAAAAAAAAAAAAAAAAATTGTGCTAACTTTCCCTTTCTCTTCTCTTTCCCTTTTCCTCCCCTTCCCTCTCTTCTCTTTCCCTTTTCCTTCCCTTCCTTCTCTCTCTTATAGGTTTGCAGGGGGGGGGGGTTAAGTTACCAGATAAGTTGAATATCCTCTCACAATATTTGCACTTGAAAGGTTTCTCTCCAGTGTGCGTTCTTTCTTGTTTCGTTTGGCGGCCCAGGAAGGGGGTTAAACCCTACCCCCCCCCCCCAGTAGATCCGCCCCTGAGCTCGTAAAACTCGACAAGCCTACTGTGACTTAACCTGCGTGAAGTGTATATATATTGCATTCGCAAACATGGATTATTTGGATATCATCCACTCTCAGGGAGGTTCGGCATCTGACACGTAAAACAAACATAGAAGCGGGCGAAAGACATGGATTTTGTGTTCAATGAAGAGTTTAAAATATATACGCGCTCCTTTTTAATTGCAAATTTTGCAAATGTAAATAAGGAACATCATAGGGAAGACATTCGTGAAGGTACCATGGCTATATGCTACACGTAGATTACACGTTGAACAAACATGGAAGCTGGCGGAGACTATTGATTTGTGTCTCCGAATTATGTTGTGCCTTTTCAATACCAAATGTTGCGAATGAAAATAAGGATGTGAAGGATCATAAGAAAGATTTCACTCTTGTGGTTTCAGGTTCTTATCGTAGCAAGAGTATAATAATTCCGCCACTTTTTTTAAAACATTATACACAAACTTTGTTTCATTCACAGTGAAGTCTTTAGGGACGGAAGCTTGGACCCAGATCGAAAATAGGCTTAATAATTAAGTGTGCATTGATAACTTTGGCTCAATCTGGTGCATCGGCTGAAGACACGGCAGCAGTTGACAATTAAACCACTGGATAACGTTCGGATCTGTCTCATACTCCGTTCGCCTTCTCTTGTTTTGTTAGTGTTTGGTCGATTTAGTCTAAACTAGCCAGTTATTTCTAGGATTTTAAACAACCGACATGTTTGTTTGATAAAGGTTAAGGCATATGCATGCATGCATGATTGTACGTAAGCAACCAGGGGAGCAATCGCGCCTCTTCCGGTGTGTATACCAAGATCTTACATTCTTAAAGATACCATGGCGACTACAGCATCCATCAACGGTTCAGACTCGCCGTCTTGGTCTTGGAACGAAATCGACTGGGGCGATTGGCACACGATTCTTCAGTTAGTACCAGCGTGTATAGGATGCCTAGGAAACCTCGTGGTAATCATTGTCCTGATTCCTCCACGTTCGCAGAATAGATCGACCGATATCTTAATAGGGCATCTAGCTGTAGCCGACTTCCTGACGTCCATATTTCTTCTACCAATTCCAGTTGTTAGAACTGTTCCTCGCAACTGGTTAGGAGTCTTGTATTGTGGATTTCTCGGTTTAAGTAGTTGTCGTATTGTTTGCATCTTCTCTGCAATTTACATTCTCCTAGCCATCTGCTGTGATCGATTCCTTGCGGTAGTCTACCCTCTGCAGTTTAATCGTTGGATCACTAGATGGCGGGCCACGTTGGTCGTTGTTTGCATCTGGCTGGGTTCGTCTATCGGTCAGTATACTACGACCTTCACCAGGCTGGACCGAGCGAAGTACGAGTGTACGGTTATATCTTTACGGCGTTATAGTCAGATCACCGCCGGTTCTCTTAACTTTTTGTTTGTTTTCGCCGTACCCGCATTGACCATGCTCCTCTCACAAATCTTCATCGCCCGCACGTTGCTTCGGCAGTCGCGACGTTTCAACTCTGACAGGAACTTGCCACCGTTTAGGCCATCCGTCCATCTGGTCGCTAGACGGAAAGTGCTGAAGATGATGGCCATAGCAGTTGCCGTATTTGTGGTGACATTAGGCCCCAACCAGACTAGTTACTACTGCTACAATCTCGGGATAGTGCCACAGGGATATCTATCGGGCGACTTTCACCGCTTCACGATTCTCTTGCTTGCTACAGCTCCTGCGCTAACCCTTTCATCTACGCATCACAAAACAAGAAGTTCAGGCAGGCATTTGTGAACATGTGGAGACGGTCACAGTCGCGTAACTCTCCTATTTTCTAATATATATTAGGTTAATAAGACCACCGAATATACGAACCTCCTGCGATTCGATTTTCAAAGAAATCACAGCATTGGATATGGACATATAAACAAATATCATATTCCTGTTTTAGTTTTTAAATAATCAAATGAATATTCATAATCGGAATGTTAGTCCGTTTGAGCCTTCTTGTCGGCGTAAGAGCCAGTTCGGCTTCAAATCGTAGACGATCGTACAAATGAAATTACGTCACTACGATTCTGAGCCGATATGCGATATGAATTTTTCTCATTCAAGCAAACTGTCTGTCCCCCGAAATTGTTATTTGATTTTGCACATATACTGTTACTATTCAGAACATAGATTATTATATATGTGAATGTTCTTGTCGAATGCTATTAAAAATACATCCAAAATAGGATCGCAGTCAGGTTGTATAGTGTACGTGCAGTGCAGTGTTACGAGCTTATAAGGTGAGGTAAATTTTGTTTTCAAATTTACAGAAATATTGAAGTTAAAATAACACATGAATCACACCATCCACCCTTACACACGCTCCCGCACTCACAAATACAAACACTTTGAGAGGATATGATAGGCTATTCATTGATTTTATTTTGATCATTACAGAATTCTTATTTTTTATATATAGATCTGATTTGCAGATTATTAACATAGGCAAGGTGTCTAGGGACGGGCGAAGTGATGTTCTCACACATTGTATATACAAGTCTTCAACAGGGAAAATGATTTTCATTTTCATTGATTTTTTTTTAAATTTTTTGATTTTTTTTTTTTTTTTTTTGGGGGGGGGGGGGGAATTATCCTGACAGAATGAACAGGGAAATATTAATAACAAATTATGGGGAAGGTAGCTTGAACATAGTGTGCTTGAAGTTAAGGGTACAAGCCCAACATGATATGAAATGAGTATTTACTCTGCTTTACTTTACTTTGCTTCTAGATCCAAAGGCTGGACAAATATTGTTTCGTATTTATTAGGTTCTTTTGGTAGGCATTTCGTTGTTTTGGGGGTAATTATGTAAGCACTCTCCAGCCAGTCTTTAGAAAACACGCTCCTCTGAAAAGCATGTTATAAGCAATCAGATAATTTGGAATAACAAGGAAATAATTGTAATACTAAATCAGTTTTTAAACATACCTTGTTTACAATGTGTAAATTTAGTAACATATTAGATGAAAAAAGAGTTGTTTTAAATGGCTAAATGTCAGACTAATTTTTTTGTTATAATTAATAATAATATACCTTTTTTTGGGGGGGGGGGGGGGAATGTTACAAGAGAATGTCTAGCAAGTGGATTTTTTTTTTTAGAAAAACAATTTAAGCAATACTCAATGATGCGTTCTGCGCATCCTGTTGACAACGGTTAGGGGTAAACCGCTATACTATCAAGCAGATAACCATCATACCGTTTATGAATGTATATATCCATTGTCCCAACACGCTTAGCGTATACTCCCTCTGTCGACATTGTTCATACCATATCATAAAACCGCTACTTTAAAGCTTATCTGTACGAGTTTATAGGAGGGATTAGACAACCCGCAAGGTCACTGGACAGTTGGTTATCTATCAGCTCAGCTCTCAGTTAACGTAAGAAAAAGAGGATCACGGGGGGACCAATGGTCACCGATTAGGCATTGTTTTCTATACGGAGGGAGCAACTAGCTTCAAGTAGGACAGTGTGGCTTTAAGCAAAGGTAGAACGCCGTTATATCATACAAGCCTAACATTCTAGGCCATTGTTTTATGCTTATGGTAGTTCCGTCGAGATATCTTCTGTAATGTACTCCTTGAGGCATTCAAGAGAATATTTCCATAGAATCTCCTGTTTTTCCTTGTCTCTGTAATTTGATATAAAACAGAAAAGAATGAAAAGGGTCATTTTCTTAATAACAAACTTATCTGAATATTATGTAAATGGTTAAATATATTGTCTTGACATCAATATTAATCTATAGAGAAAAAAGATGAGGGCAAGGGTGTCGATTTGTATCCGTGGTTGGGGGGGGGGGGGATGATAGGTGCCAAAATATTTTCGGCAATGGATCAAAGCAACCAATGGGTAGAAGCGTGTGGCAGGTAGCACCCCCTCCCTAAGCGCGTAGCCAAGGGGTTGGGTGCAGGGAGGGAGGAGTTTCCCCCTCCCCCGCGAAGCTTTGACGTTTCATTACATTATTAGAGAAAGAAGACGATTCGTTGGACCGTTATCGACTCTTAATCCTTGTTTGAATCAAGTTTCCCTTCCTCCTTCCTCCGCGCGTAGCGCAGAAGCTCTGATGTTCATTAGATTATTAAAGAAAGAATACGATCGATTCGATGTACCATTCTCGACTCTTAATCCTTGTCTAAATTCAGTTTCCCCTCCCCCCCCCCTCCCGCGCGAAGTGTGAAAGCTTTCACGTTTCATTAAATTATTAGAGAAAGAAGACGATTCATATATCGTGTCCATGTCTGAGTGCAATCCCCCCCCCCCCCCCCCCCCCCCCGCGCAGAGGGCGGAAGCTTTGGCGTTTCATTTAATTATTACTCTTAATCCTTGTCTGAATTCAATTTCGCCCATTCCTGCGCGAAGCGCGGAAGCTTTCACATTTCATTACATTATTAGAGAATGAAGACGATTCGTTGTATCGTGTGCTTGTCTGAATTAAGTTCTCCCCCTGCCGCGCGAAGCGCGGAAGCTGTGACGGTTTCAATAAATTATTACTCTTAATCCTTGTCTGTATTTGTTTTCGCCCTTTTCGCCCTTACCGTTTCATTTAATTATTAGAGAAGGAAGACGATTCGTTGTATCGTGTCCTTGTCTGAATTCAGTTCCCCCCCCCCCCCCGCGCGAAGCGGGGAAGCTTTGAAGTTTTATTTGATTATTACTCTTAATCCACATCTGATATCATTTTCGCCCATCCCGCGCGTAGCGCGGAAGCTTTCATGTTTCATTAAATTATTATAAATGGCCACTAATTAGGCCCATTAGTGACCATACAAAATATATGCTCTTCCTGGCTATTTGGGAATGTGTCAGTTTGCAACAGAAATGGAGAAACGCGAATTTGTTGAAAATCATGTAATATATCACAAACATTTATAAATCACTTGTATGAAATTGAAAATAAGTCATGTTTGGAATTTTGTATTTTATTTTTTTTGGGGGGGGGGCTAGCGCCCCCAAGCCCCCTCCCTCCCCCTCCACCAGTACGCCAGTGACATAGGGTTTCATCAGCTTTTAAATGAAAAAAAAAAAGTTGTGACATAATAATCTTTCTCTAAAAATGAAAAATGTTTTAGGAAATATCGGGAAATAAAATGAGTGAACAAAATAAACAAAGATACAATGACGTGGATTTTAAAGAAAGGTGAACGGAAACAACATAGCAACTAGTAAACTATCTTATAAGTCATACTGATGTCCGAAAATCGTTCTCCTTGTCTCCGATCTCATCACGAATTCGTCACAGAGTTCATCTATGTTTACACTGTCCAGGATTGTCTGATGTGCATTGCAGATTGATACTTTTGCGCTTCGCGTTTAACATTTAGCTTGTTGCTTTTAAATGCTGCAGCTTTGCATTTGGCGCACTGCATTTCTATGATGCTGTTGACTGAACAAATTGAATAAATTCATCAATTCCTGATGAAGCCGTATGAGCAAGAATTCAATTTATTCTTGTCTCATATACGGTTGTCTCATTAACTTCGTATATATGAAATTATGAAAATGAGATAACAAAATGTGTATATTGATGGTCATCTTGCGAGTAATAACCATTAACTACTCTCATCGGACTCTCATCATTAATTTTTCTCTTCATTTTTTTTTTTTTTTTTGATGGTGAATTATTAATATTGGGGGGATGATTGTACAGGGCATCCCCCCCAGCTGAAATATTGGGGGGATATATCCCCCCCCCCCATCCCCCCCCCCCCCCCGGGATCGACACCCATGGATGAGGGAGGTAGGGGGAGAACGAATGGAAGAGAGAGAGAGAGAAACAAAGAGAAGAGGAGGGAGAGAGAGAGAAAAAGAAGAAAGGAGATAGAGAGAAAAAGGAATAGAACGAGAGAGAGTATGTGTTTGTGTGTGGAGGGGGGGACGGACGTATACCTGACCATAGCTGTGACATCCCGGGGCGTTGAGCTTTCAAAGTAGATCGCAGTCTTCCCATCATATACCGGGCTAGCGGCGGCATGAAGTGATGACAGCGCACCCTCAAATGGAGACCTCAACATTTCTAATTGATAAGATAGATTATGTTTATTTTCCACATCCAACTATCTGTAGTTATACATTGTCTATTATTTGTTTTGTATGTGTTAATTATGTTTTTCATATCTTCAAATCGATATATTGAATTTGTATATAAATTAAATATACAGAAGTCTCCAAAGCACGGACCTTATTTTTAAGTTTCCCATTTAATTTTCTTACAATACGGGCTTATTCACTACACCACTATGCCTAGTTTCACCAGGAGTAATAGCATAATAGGACCTATGCATTACTATTTCGTAAAGAAATGATTTCACAGGGTCCTGTTTCATAAAATTTGTTAAAAGTAACGAGTTACAATAATTTGTATAAGAAACCGTGGCATTTGATCGACTGAGACCAAATTTTTAAACAGAATGTTTGTGTCATTAATAATTAATTTTATGAAACAGGGTCAAGTCTTGAGAGAAAAATGATAACAATCTAAATCTGAACTAAAATAATAGAAAGAAAACATTTTTGTTTTGTTTTTGTATGACACTTACTGGCCCCGAGGGTCCTTCGAATTTTCGTCAGCACCGGTACCTCCGGCCCACCACGCATGCAAATCTCTGTATCGACCACACCCGGGTGCACCGAAAACACACCGACCCCTTTTTCTTCCAAACGTTGAGCCAATGAGAACATGTGCATTATCTGTGAGGGATAGCACTAGTGATTAAATAAAATTATAAGATGATGAAGAGGATCATAATCAAAGGATTGGTTGAGAGCGTACACGTGATCAAGCATTGCTTTTGCCGAACACGTAATTTTACTAATGACCGGTCATTAGTAAATTTTAATGACCGGTCATCAGTAAAATCATGTAAAAAACACCATTGTATAAAACAAGTAAAACATCATCTTATTAAACAAATAATACACATAATTTTGTTCGGGCATTATATGACCCACATTCGGTTAATTCGAAACAGTCCAAACACCCTCGGCTTTCATTCTTGAGTTACGAAAAACACAATAAAGCATCATATTGACAAGAGTATAAATAATTTAGTTGTTATCTGTATATTACAACTTATGCAAAAGATTTGTTTGACTAATTCATGAAATATACTTTTGTAAATTGGAAGGTATCAATTGAAGATCATTGAAATACGTTGATAGTAGGCTTGCGGATGCACCATGTAACAGAGAGGGATGATTGAGGAGTCCTGATAAGGACTCTTGGTAATCTTTCTTGGGGGTATGTAGTCCTAAAAAAGGACTGTTGGTGTAGTCTTAAAAAAGACGGTTAGTTATCTTTCTAAGCGTATAGTACTAAGGAGAACTATAGCGCCGAATGGAGAGGATGGGTGGCGGGAGTGGCTCGCACTTCGAATAGGTTGACTATCCGTCGTCAGGAATGGGAAATAGCTGATTTATCTAAAACAGAGAAGAAAAAAAGAAGAAAAAAGGAGAAAGATTACCTGATAGTATTTCGAGGTAGCGTAACGATTCTTCAAGTCGGGGTTCTCCAAGCACTGCATATCGTCGACATTCCAGCTGGCGAGCCGATACATACCGGACGCAACAGAGACCACTCGAGATCCTGGACCAGATCTCTTCAAGACAGGTAGAAGATGGAGGATGAGTAAGAAGTGGGAGAGATAGTTGATCTGAAAGTGAGGTTCGTACCCGTCAGACGTCAGGGCTGAGGAAAGATATATTAAAGGGAATGGATCGTCAGTTTCCATGTGCAGAAGGCCATAATTCGCTGACACCAGACTTGGTGGAAATACCATTAATGGGAGTACAAATCTACACACAGCAAACCCGGAGGCCAGTCAAGAATTACCCCCTAGTCTCTAGGGGAGCTTGGGAGTAATGTTCATAAAACTGAAGGCTAAAACTGGTGATTGACAACACGTTCGGGTACACACCCGAATGGTGTCGAATTCCCCATGAAAGCTGGTTTATATGTGTCTTTAAAATGACGATGCGTTCAGTGCAAATTGTACTTGTTTAATTGTTGTAATGTGCTTTTTAATTTTTGTATCGTGTTGTTATTTGTTTGTTTTCTATATGCTGTTTCATCATCACGAGTGCAAGGGGAAACACTTTTTTGAGGAGCAAGCCATTTTCGTTTTAATGTGATTTCCGGGCACAGCTTTATTCTACATTATAGCTTTGTAAATTAAGAAATCAGTATATTGAATTGAATAGAATAACTGCAGTAAACTTCTAACGCTATTATTAAATACTAGTAGTTTTAAATATCGAAATATTGACCTTTGATTCCAAAGCCTATACACTTCATATTGTATAAGTTAAACAAAGGATTTACTTATATATTTCATTAGGTTTGCATGAATTAATCTGCTTGAATAGGTTAAAGACCGTCATTACTACTGGGCCAGAAGGGATGAGACCACACAGCGAGGTCACTGACAGGTGGTTATCTCATTAACTCGGCTCTCAACTAACATAAGAAAAAGAGGATCATGGGGGACCAACAGACACCGATTTGGAAAGTTTTCTATATAGAGGGAGCAAGTAGCTACAATTAGTACAGTGGGGCTTTAAGCAATGCCACCTACAGCAAAGCAGCCCACAGAATTGTGAGAAATTTCAATGTTGTTTTACCCTTGGGACCACAGAAGATACCAGCGTTGCACACAAGAACATGAAGAGGAAGACCTCTGCTCTTATAGGCTTCTATGAAGGTAACTGTACTTTCCAATGAGGCAAGGTCAAGGGTCATGAATTCAACGTGGAGATCATCGACCTGTGAAATGGGAGTAGAGAAAAGTATGTCAGTAAGACGCCCTCTAGGGGCATAGCAATACATGAATGAGCAATTAGAGACTAATTATTAAACAAAATCAAATTAATATTGAAAATGTAAGTTTCGAAACATGCATTACTGACAAGAATTATCTAGAGAACAAAATTAGAAAAAAATTCAAAAATTTAAGCAATGTTATAAAACACGCTGACTTTTTCAAATCATTTCATGATTATACATGTCACTTTTCTCTTTTTTTCTTCAAGCATTGTTAAATTATTGCTATTGGAAATGGTTAAGTATATATTATAAAATGATATTTTATTCTTAAAAGCAGATAATAGAATAGGCCCAGTAGTATTAAGTTTTACTGTTTCTTAAGATTATGCAGAAAGATTGTTTTTCACGTTCTTTAAAAACGGCCATCAGATTTTAAAATTTGAGGATTGATTTTCTTTTCTTCATACAGCACAGACTCTACCCCCTCCCCCTCTGCCCCCCCCCCCCACCCCCCCCCCCCCCACCCCCTCTTAACGGCAAACGTTTCAAATCTACTTTTATCCCATATCCATATAAGGAGATGTGAGTAGGTCTAGCGGCACGTTCACTTGGTCAGTTCTCTGTTTTCGCCTGCAAACTGGCTCAGACGACCCTGGTTCGAAACCGAGTCACGTCTTTCGGACGTTGACAATAGGGACTTTTCGATTTGCATGGACGTGGACGTATGACTTCCTTTTAAGGCACTGGCAGTCACGTGTGACGTCCTTTTAAAGCACTGACAGTCATATGTGACGTCTTTTTAAGGCACTGGTAGTGCCTTAGAAGGATGTCACACGTTACAGTCCACGTCCTCGTCGTGCAAATCTAAAAGTCCCTATTAAAGGTCGGTCCTCATACATAAATAATCAAATCTGATTGACACACGTCTGTTAAAACCCAATCACATATCAACATATACTTGCCTTTATTTGTACTTTCTGCTTTGAAGGATCAGATTTTTCTTCTTCGTGTTCCCTCTTCATCCTATAAATGGCCTGAAATGCATTTTGTTTAAAGAATCATATAAGAGTCATCTGATGGAGAGAAATTTAAAATTGAATAATTGAAACAAATCAGTTAATTGTTTAAATTATCTAACATTCGAAAGTTCTATTTACATTTTACTCCATTTTACGCCCGATTTTCTAATTTCCGGACACTGCCGGGCACCCCAATGCTGGAGAGAAATGCACTTTTTTTTATGCCAAAATGCTCATTTGTTCTATGCACGCAAGTCAGATTGAGCGGATGATACAACGTTTCGATATGTAGTTACTGTAGTAGTAAGTAGTAGTAGTAAATAATAGTAGTAATAGTAGCAGATGTAGTGGTAATAGTAGTTTATGTATATAGTAGTAAGTAGTATTAGTTTGTAGAAGTAGCAGTAGTTGTGAATAGGAGTAGTAGCAGCAGTAGTAGTTTCTGTAGTAGCAGTAGTAGTAGTAAATAGCAGTAGCCGTCGTTTTAGTAGCACACTAGCAGTAGAAGAAGAAGTAGTAGTAGTAGTAGTAGTAGTATTAGAAGTGGTAGTACGATCGTTGTTCTTATTATATATTATCATCGTTATCATCACCCTTTCAAAGTCTTGCATACAGTATACACCTCACATTATATCATACTATTCGTGATTATGATAACTGTAATTGTGATAATGTCTCACCTGATTGGCGTTAGATTCAGATCGGCACGCTAGAATGACCTTTGCTCCCACCTGAGCCAGTGCTTTTGTTGTCTCATATCCAATGCCTGGTGAAGCGTTTGAACAAAGGGTTCAAATATTATTGACATTTCATTCGCCATCAGTGCCAGTTGGCACGGTTGTTCGTTTGCCACACGTTCAGATTGGCCCAAAACAATTAGGCATGTTGATGGAAAAATCCCTTTTAGCAACACATTATCTTCAATAAATACAATTTTATTACTTCCATAACAACCCTTTTAACGCCAGTTTAGATTAATCTTGCACTGGAAAGAATTATGTATTGTAAATCCTGGGGGTGTTTCACAAAGCCTTTTTTCAATGACAAATGACCGAAAAGGAAACAAAAATCAGTGAGAAATCTACTGATAACCAATCAGAAGCAAGGATTTCAGTAGCATATAACAAGAACTGTCATTTGTCACTGATGACAAGTTTTCTGAAACGGGTCTCTGTTTTCTAAGGTGCTATGAAGTAATTCATATCGAAGTCAATATCAATTAAAACCCTCCTTCAAGCGAAGATTTCAGTGGTTCCGGATTCTGGAGAATAATCTCAAACTACGTTGAAATTAATGGTTGTTTAAGGCAGGGTATTCTACGGGCACTACTTCAGGGGGGTGTTTCATGAAACAATTAGACGGTGATTTGCACCGACTAATATCATTTTCACCGACAATTTTATTGTCACCGACTATTTTCCAAGCCTCTGATTTGTCAAATTTAGTCGCCGCTGACAGTTGTTGGTGGACAAATGTTGATGAAATGCCCCCCCCCCCCCCGAATTACATATAACTGCCATCTGCTGCTCACAATGTCCCGATGTGTCTACAGCCGTGTCCCACCATGCATCACCAATAATGACAGGCTACTCCGTTCGTTCAAGCGAATTTTCGCGACCGTGATTCTGCGGAATCACTATACAAAACTCATCTTTTTCAGCGTTTCATGTTTGTGTTTAAACACGTTTATTTTTACGACCGACGAAAAGTCGCTTGAACGCAACCATGTTTTAAACTAAAAATCTTTGAAAACCGTGATTCCAGGGTGAAAAAAGTGTCGATTGAACGCACCCTTAATGACATTATATTATGTTACCTGTATTAGCTCCTGTAACAATGACCACCTTGCCATTGAGATCGACATCTGGAAGGCTCGGTTGACTAGGCTGTGACCCCATGCTAACCTTTGATACAATGGTCCTGGTATGGAGAAGTAGTTATCCAAACATATGATAATAATACAAAATTCAACGATATATTTGAATTTTGAATTGATAATTATGTTCATACATGTTGCTATGGTATGTTCGTCTTTCGGATGGTGACGTTCAATAATCGAAATATACAAAAAGGACATAATGACAAAACGGGACACAAAGGACAGGAAACTGACATAATAAGATAAGACAATACATGACAAAACAATTCATAGCAGGACAAGATAAACAAGACATGACTGGACAAGACAAAAGAAGACATGACAGGACAAAACAAGACCAAACAAAAACCTTGACATCTTGGCCATTGTGACGTCACACTTCGTTACTCTATACTGAAACGTAGAAGAGGTCCAGACAGAAGAGTATTTTGTACATGTACGGTAGTGCGAAGGAAGCGTGGATAAGTTTAAACAAATAGTAAATGAAAATGCTTATAGCTTCGGTTGAATTGATGAATTAGAATCATCTATTAGTGCATGGAGAGAAGCTAAAGATTTTAAATGTGCATTTAACAACTATTATACAAACAAAATGGTATTTATAGTGGTGTATTTGTAGGACAATGTACGAAATTGGATGGGGTTGAGAACATTTTGGCCCGTGAAGAGAGATAACTAAGATTTAAGAAATACAAATGAACTTATACGTAGGATTATGGCATATTTTACAAATTAATTAGACACATACTTAACACATTAAGTAGTACAATGATAAATGCACTGATTTTGATTGGCACAACACTTAACACATGAATTAGTTTCATAATTAACATTCTAATTAGTACAATATTTAGCACATTGATTTTGATTGGCGAAATAAAGTTAACCTATATTTTTAAAAATTTTAGTTTTATGTGATGAACGTAAAGCCATTTTAATGACGAAATAATGTAATGAAAGTAATCAAGGATAAAATGGTAATTGTTCCACTTATTTTTATCCTGTTATTATTATTATTATCTCATAATTGTGAATTCTTATTCTGTTCTTTACTCTTAATTTTCCAGGATTCAGACTGTAGGGGTGACATGCCTTCGAGTAATATCAATTTGATTTGCTTTTGTCACCCCTGACCAGCAGATTGTATCCTTCTCTCTCTCTCTCTCCTCTCCACTCTCCTACAGCTGTTTGGATTTATAATGAAATGTCTATGTATTATCTGATTGGTGTACTCATTGTATGTTTTCCGATCGGTCAAATAAATAATAATAATAATGATAATATACTGTAAAAGCCAACATGAATAACACAGAACAAAATAAATAACACTCACCTCTGAGTGTGATGTCGATTGCGTTGTTTTCCCTTCTTCTCACTTGTATGAACATATATTTATCCAATCGAGGCTATCAGCATGTGTAAAATACGAGTGAACATGTTCCTGTTTCGAAATCCTATCATGCATAAAAGGCAGAGGCCGTTTCTCGAAACCGTCGTAAGTCTAACTTTTTGGACATCCCATTGAACGTATGTTATAGAGTTAACACGTGTTTCTATGGGATGTCCACGGATTTAGAATTATGACGGTTCGAGAAACTGGCCCCAAGAATTTTTCTAGTAATACGGTGAGATCGCGATATGAATACATGTATATGATTTGTCGCACAAAGGCGAAGCCACAGAACTTCAAAGAGCAAGGCAATAATAACTATTCATCTCTATGCTCTGTTGATTTGACCTATGCTCTAATACTTTGCTACCATATAAACGTTAATGCAGGCCTATTATTCCATAACAATGATAGTACAGTGAAAACTCGTTATAACGAGGTCCTTTGGACCAAGGAACTTACCTTGTTATATCAGGAATATTGTTATATCAGGGTGAACAAAAAACAAACAGAATTTAAAGAGCTGAAACCAGCAAAATCTCCTAGTGAGTACAGATACCTTGTTATATCAAAGCTATTTATACTGAGGTTCCCCTGTAATAATTTTGTTTAGCCTCATCAGCATCAGTGCTATTCGTCTTGAGGGCCCTACAAATGTTATAACCCTAGTCATTTCCAGATACCCATTTACACCCGGGTGGTGAGTGGCTAATGTGGATTGATGACTTGCCAAAAGATGGTAGTGCCGGGGTGAGATTCGAACCCTAAATCCTTCGAATTAACCGCTATCCACGTCACCCACTCCCAAATTATATACATGTATATGGAAATAAGGTTGTGTGTTTATATATGTATGTATGCATATATATATATATATACATATAAACATATTTATATAAAGTCATAAAATATCAATTCGAAGTTTCAGACGTTTCACGAGATCATATATATGATATTAATATTTTTTTCTTCTCTTGTCCTCATACGAGGCACTTTATTACTTTATATCATTTTAACAACATTGCATATAGAGTTTAATTACAATATATATATATATATATGCACAATCAACAAACTGATATAATAAAATAGGGGAAACATAAGGAAAGTGGAAGGGAAAGATCAAGGCATGAATATAAATGCGTTAAAGGTTCAACTAAGAAACATTCATCTTGATATTACTTCTTAATTGTTCTTGGTTTCTGTATTGCCAATTGACATACAACATAAAATCGCTTTTGAAAGTCATCCAAATTGAATGACTATTGAAGGATTTACTTCTAAGATGATTAAGTATATACACCTTATAAATTGCATATTGTGCGTAAACAATTAGTACATTCATGAGCAGAAACTCCGGGTCTTCAATGTTGAAACCAATTAATATGATTTTTTCTCCTAACTCAATATCTTTTTGGAACAAGTTCGTTACCAGATGATGATTTTTTTGGCAAAAGACTGCGACTTGGCGACATTTTAGCAAAATGTGTATAAACGATTCTGATTCATTGCAATATGTACAAAGCATATCGGAAGTAATTTTCCACTTGTAAAGATTGTCTTTGAAGGGTAAAACTTGATGAAGCAGTTTGAAATTAAATTGTCTTACTCTGTTGTCTTTGATCTTTTTAAATTTAAAATCTAAAACATGACTCCACTCAAAATTGATTGGTAGTTGCAGTATTTCCTGCGAAAACAATGACACCGGAGGATTTTCTTTTTTGAACTCATTCAAAAGAATATAAAGGTGTTTTGCTTTCATGAGACTTAATTTAATCAAGTCGCATTTCGATATCTCAAACATTCCTTCAGCAACTTCTGTTTCAATTGGAATAAAATTGTTATTAGGTGGGCTGTATCTAATACAGACCACCTTATAATTTTGTTAAAATTGCCTTTATTATTCTTTATTCTTTATTTTTCTTTTTTCGACCCACTTTTTTGTGAGCAAGATAACTTTAAATTGGTTCAATCAAATACCTTTAAAATTTGACACAAATATGTATAGGCATTAGAACAAAACACAGAATTTGTTCAACCTTGACCTTGACTGATTACGTCATCTAGGCGCCATTTTTTGAAATTTTCTGAAAATAAACTCTTGATCATATCTTCATAACCAAAAACCATTTCTCATTCACATTTATCATGATTAAGGTCAATATCCATCCGGTCAATTTCAGGTCAAAAAACGCGTGCGTACGAGTACGTCCGCGCGTCAATGCGCGCGCAACATTTCAAAATGCTCAAAATCGTCTCAAATTTATTTTGCATACGTTTCAGGTCATTTTAAGCATTTCATAAAAAAATCGCGCAAACGCACATGCGTGCGCGTTTTCGCGCGTAACACTATTACACAACATAGAATCGCCATTTTGTTTTCTTTCATGATATTTCTCATATTTTTTCGAGGAATTTGATACCATGTTTATCTCTTTATGACCATTAATAACAAGATGAGCGTCAATTCGAGAAAAATGTCCGTGCGCGCGAGCTCTTTTAATACATAGCATATATGGGCAAAAACAGGCCTATACAAAACCCGTTATAGCTCTTTAGAATGAACCGTGACCTTCCATTTTTTTTCATATTTAGATAGAGTATGAGTCGAAGATATGATTCCATGTCTCATTTGGCCATTAAGTGTATCGTGACATCATCATAATGGCCTTGGAATTCAAAATACAAATTTGCATATTATGAAGTCAGCATATTTATTTAAAATTGATTGTATCTCTGTATATATTGATTGATTTTCTTCAAAATTTTCGATATGTTGAAGCTAAGATAATTTTCTACAAGTTCAATAATAATCATTTTTCATTTTGATGACGTCATCAGAGTAAAAATTTCGATTAAAGGGCACATATCAGAAATTTCTGAAGTTGCGTGTTATGCCTATGGAAGGTGAATTTCATTTACATCATTACATCAATGACATTGTTTTTTAGCAGTATCTCGCTTATTTTTGCTCTATTTTGTCTTAAATTTTAGTTGACCAGCCCACCTATACTTGTTCCAAACAAGTATTATGTCTAGTTTCTTATTAGTTCTACCCATACTTTTGGAAAAGCCCTTTTTAGTTTTGAAAGTTTGAAGCTATCTAATAAAGAACTTGTACCCAAACGTTCGAAGAGAGTGTTGCATGACACCCATTGACCGTTTTCAAATACATCACTAACTTTACAGATTCCGTTTACATTCCATTTTTTAAAAAATAAAACATTTCGTTCATGTTTGATGTTACTGTTATACCACAGAATTTCATTACCTATGTCTCTTACATTTAGGAAATGAACAAATCTTAATTCGCACCAGTATGTGAGTAAGTTAGCATAGAATATTGGTAACTTATACATCTTACATAGCGAGAACATGTCTTTGCTTGAGCAGTTTACTTTAAAAAAAATGGTATGTCTTGAATAAAACTGATCCAATAACTGAAAAGTATTCTCCATTGCGACTTATATGATATTAATATATAATATAATATAGATTGATGTCTTGCCAAAAGACGGTAGTGCTGGGCTGAGATTCGAACCCTTATAAAGAGCCAATCAACGTCTTTCAAGTTGCCGCGGGTGAAAAGGACTCCTTCGAGTTCGCAGAATATTCTATCTCATGTAAATCATTTCGCTTGCAACTAATATTTATAGAATATTTATAGACCACCTTATTCCGAATCCCGTCCAGTAACGGTTGCTGATTGTATATAAAGCACTTCTTGGTCAAGCTCCCACTTATATCAAATAATTGTTAAATTTCAAGCTTAATCGACACAATCGGAACTTGCGCAATTCCCGAGATGCTTTGTAGCTGCAGATCCCATCTATCAAAACAAAAATAACGCTAGGTAACGCATTTGCTTGTGCAGCCCCAAAACTCTGGAATAACTTACCATTACAAGTTAGGATATCACCATCTGTAAATATCTTTAAATCAGAACTTAAAGCAGATCTTTTCAATTAACTGTAAATCTAGGCATATCAGGAACTCTTGTATATAGCGCAGTAGAATATATACTTAATGTTGGATAGTTTCTGCGCTCTATAAATGTATTATTACTATCATTATATATGTGCACCCCTTTGGATAACAGCACCTCGTCCCGATACAGGTGTTCCATTCCTCTTGTGTTTAAACAAAATGAGGGGGTAGCATTATTTCCCATTTCTATTTCTCGCAATTGTGTATTCATTTCTAAGAGAGAAGCTAAAGTTGGGTATGCCTTTTTTTTAATTTCTTTCATTGCATTTACCGCATTCAGAAACCCGTCAAATCGATCTATAGAACAATAATTTTGTTGAAGTTCGTCATAATATATATTCATTTGACCCCTAACGCAATAGTTGTCAATGAAAGGTTTATTCTATCGTGGCCGTATTTATCTCTCCCTATCTATGCCTCTTTATATATCTCTATCGCTCTATCTCTTTCTGTGTCTCTCTCTATTTAACCCGCTCTCTATCTCTCTCTCTCTCTATCGTTTTTCTTTGTCTGGCACTCTCTCTCTCTCTCTCTATATATATATATATATATATATATATATATGTCTTTCTCTCTATTTATATCTCTCTCTCTCTCTCTTCTAAATCTTGTTGTAATGTTTGTGACCCAATTACCTAGTGATTATAAATAAATGCAATTTGCCGAACAATTTTGGTAGAAAATATATACTGGCTGAGTAATGAGCATAGACAGATTAGGAAATCAAGGTTAGAAGCCCAGACATCGTTTGTGTAGTCCCATATAGATCTTTCTGTGTAGAGTGCGCGTTACTTTACCAAGACTGGGCTAAATTTATTATGATTTTGATGACTCCAGAACCTTGCAGTACCCACCAATACTTACATGCTACATAAGCAACTTTTTCTGATCCCTTCCACACATTTTTTTCACAGTGCAATCGGATGACCAGAACTCACCTTTATCCTTAACATTGACATATATGAGAGCAGATTTGAAATTGTCTAAACCAACCTTTTCAATCCCTGATCAATTCATGTAAATGCTTAATGAACATGAAAGGGCAATCCATCCCTTTTAATAAGTCCATTAGCGTGAACACAGAAGAATGAGATCAATAGAATGATGAAAGTTTGAAATAAAACGAACCAATAATAATAATGTTATGAATGTTTGAAATGGGAGATCAATCAAAGTCTACCTCAAATTGGCAGTTTGGTCACTAGACTATGACGTAGTCGCGGGTGATTCTCCCGCTTGTCGTTTTTCGTGTTAACCCGTTGACTACTGCATTATCTAATTCCCATAGACTTAACACAGAGACCACCAGGTTCCAGTAAGCAATGGGTTAAAAGATATAATTGAAAGGACTTTCTGATTTTCTCCTAATTTCCTTCTCCTGTGGTTTGATAATCAATATTTATCATCGATAGGGATTTTATTATACGTTCACCAAGAGAAAAAAAGCCATCGGGGTCATATATTTTTTACTCATTTTTGTTGTTAGAACAAATAGGGAAAGGTGTGCGTCACTTCATCACAAAGGCATTACCGATTCAGCCACTTTGAAGAGCCCATACCAAAAGTGATTGTAATTTTCTGAAATTCATATAATTTCTCTTTTTTTTCGATTTCATCGAAACTTTCATCAGTCTACTTTTTTGATTTTCTTCTTTCTTCAAGAGTAGTTTGCTGTCAAGCTAAGGTTTCTTTTTTCAAAAATCCTAATTAAAAAGGCAGAAACGATTCCACGAAGAAAAAAACATCATTGACATGCCGTAAATAACATGAGTCAATTCCTCATTTCTACTTTTATCGTGGTTTATATATATTTATATATATATATGTATATATTTACAGAGTGATTGCATATTTACCGAGTTATACTCACACACTAAAGAAGATAGTACTAGTTTGATCCAGACAAGTTATGTTTGTCATTAAAAGATTTATTAAAAAATTGTTACAGATCAGTTTTACTTCTGTATAATCTCTCTTTTGCAAACAATCAAAAGAATTTTTTTAGAAAAAAGGAATTTCAAATTATCATAAAAAGGATATTATGTACATCATGGTGTTTTAAATACATTGTTTAATTGTACAAAATCATCTACCCTGAAAGACATAATTATATTATCGGCTTTTTTCTAGCAGTTTATTCTCATGTTCAACAAAGTAAGACATTTGCTGTTTAAAAGTAATGTATAAACCGAATTTGTTAACGTTTTCTTATTTTTGGTTAACACAAATGCTATAATACTTACTACAGTATCATTATGTATATCATTACCAATACCATTATAATTGCAAATTTTTTTTATTTTTTTTTTTTTTTGGGGGGGGTAAAATTCTTGGGAATTATAAATGTATGCATGTATACATGAATAAACTGTTGTCAATAAAGTTGAAACAACTTTTCTTTCTTCTATTCATGAAATGATTGTGAAAATATAATTTATTCTTGATAGATATAGTTTTTTCGTCTCGAAATTTGTTGATTAATCTAAAAGACTCTTAGAAATGGATCAAGAGGATATGACTTTTATCGTTCAGAAATAAATCACATTGCCACAATTATTTACTGGAATTTGATAAGAACAGCTTATACCACTACAGTATACACATCCAAATGCTTTCTTAGCAGTCAGTTAACATTAAATAATCGACAAATTATCTCAGGAATTCATGCAATGTAGGGCCGCTTATCGGCAATGTTTATCCAGTCATCACAAAGACTTTTAGAGAATTCATTGCACAGGCTTTATTTCATCTTCAAGAAATACAAACATTGTCCGAAGGGTCAAGCGGGGGCGTTTCACAAAACTTGTCATCAGTGAACAATAACAGTATTTGTTATAAGCTACTGAAATCCTTGCTTCTGATTGGTTATCAGCAGATTTGTCACTGATTTCTGTCATTTGTAATTGATAAGAGAATTTATTGCACAGGCATTATTTCACCTTTAAAAAATATAAACAATTGTCCGAAGGGTCCAGAGAGGCGTTTGACAGAACTTTTCATCAGTGACCAATGACAGTTTTTGTTATAAGCTACTAAAATCCTTGTTTGTGATTGGATATCAGCAGATTTGTCACTGATTTTTTTTGTCACTTTTCTTTGAGGAAAGGCTTTGTGAATCGGGTCCCAGGTTACTTATGCTGATGCGAGTTCCTTCATGACATCCTCTGTGATGTGATCCTTCAGGCATTCCAGGGAATATTTCCACAGAATCTCTTGCTTTTCCTTGTTACTGAAAAAAAAGGAAATTAATTAAGTTATGGCAGGTAGGGCATACTGTCGTGTAAAAGGCAGGGTCGATATTTACTTTGATATTGTTCAAGGGCATTACCTAGTATTTATACATTTGTATTTATACTTTTTAATACCTCTACTTCATTATATGTATCATTGCGTACACGTTTATTGCACGATTTGGGGGAAAATTTCAAATTAAAAATGTATTATTAACTTATATGAAGTGAACATTTTTTCGTCTGTAGATTTATCAACGCACACGTACGTGCACGTATACGCTTGCACGCGTAAAGATCGAACATAGGTTCTACTGCAGTTCCTTGAGGTAGGTCTTTACGTGGTTCCCACTAACCAATCCATGTCAAGAGTAGAATTCAGGATTACCTTTAATATTTTGTTATGATTTACCATTTCAATTCATTACTACTATTATTTCTTTCAGTCGACTGGCCCCTTTTAACAGAAAATTGAGATCTGGAAAATATGAAAACTAATTTTGTGAGCTCTCCCATTCTGTCACAAGTCATTTTAGAAGAATATGAAAGAGAAAATAGGTGTTTACCCTGATATGGGGATTGATCTTCAAATGCCTTCAGTTTCGAAGTATGACCAACATTATCTGTATAGAGAGCTGGACTAAATAAAACTGCGTGCCAGACGTGTATGAAGTCCAATATACACATTTCTGTGAATGTGACCTCTCTTTAGCAAGACTAGTCAATTTCCAACAAATTTACTGATTCCAAAACATTACAGACCCACACTGTTTCAAGGACTACATGAATCAAAGTTTTCCAATTGCTTTCACAATGTAATTACAAGATGGCAAACCCATGGTATATTTGGTAAATTTCGTGTCCCATACGTCACCAAGTTTTGTAAAGCTCTGAGCATAACAATGACATGAAATGTGTATTTTCATTCCATCTTTGGACTGATAAAAACCTCTCAATGCAATCATGAGATATTTACTAAAATCTTAGATGCAGTTTGTGATGTACGGGACGCGCGTTTCCGTTTTACACCCTGCCCTAGGCTTTTCGGCAAGAAATTACACGAAACATGCTGTATCCGAAGTCTAAGTTTGTTTATATCGACGTCAAGAATAGCGAAGCCAAAGCTTATGTACAATTTCAATTGGGATGCGAGGGTCTTCTTGTTCAAGACGGTTTTCCCGATATATTATTGTTTTGTTATCGCTGGGTTAAATTTTGCGAGCTGATCACGCATCCTCACGCTCTTAGAGTATTGCGTATTAATGGATAAAAATAAATGATACGACTAGGAAGATCAACTAGTATAGAGAGTTAGCTAGCGCTACGTGACGTTTTCAGAGTTCTGGTGGTGTGCAGAGCGCCGAGGCAAGATGTGGACGACTAGACTCCGAATACCAGTCGGTTTGTAAAATTTTATTGGAGAAAAGCCTAGGGCAGGGTGTAAAACGGAAACGCGCGTACGGGACAAAGGCTTAGACTTGTTCAACACTAGAACTCAGTATTACCTTTAAGATTCGGGTTAAAGCCTACGATCAAGACAATGCAGGCGGCTTAGTTCGAATCATTCGGTCGTCGTGTTGGGTCAGATGGTATCGTTATCTGACCTTTGGTGAAAATGTGCCCCTTTTGTCACGAAATGTCGGGAGGTAGTGTTTTTGAAATAAACCCTCTCATCTACAAACGGCCTGGTCCAATTAAAAGGACAATTTGTGAGAACCCTACAACAAATCTACGAAAGATCCTGTAACGCGACCACCCGACCGAACGTGATGACCCGATGGTTCGAAGTAAGCCATGCAAACGACATGTATGTTATACCTTGCCATGGCATTAACACTTTTGGGCTTTGAGCTGTCAAAGAAGAGGGCAGTCTTATCGTCATAGGCCGGTTAGCGGCGGCGTGGAGAGATGTCAATGCACCGTCGAATGGAGTCCGCAACAGTTCTTCGTTGAACACGAGAAAATATGTTACGTGAGGGATGTATTAAGTTATCAATATGATATTCAACAGTGTGGTAGTTAAACAAATGTAATTTGGGAAAATGAAATTGACATTAATTATGTTTTGGGGGTCAATTAAAAACAATGACAGAAGAAAATATAATGTACTCTTTCCTAGTTTCTTCATGAACGCAAAGTTAGTTTCAACTGCGGTATATAGTTATCATATTCCATGTTGATTATAATGCAATAGCAATGAGAAAAGCCTAAACTCAATTACAAAATAAATTAATTGACCACTTTGAAGAAAAAAAAAGATGGTTTCTTTCCAAGTATAATCAGAGGAAATGTTCAACTATTCTACTCATGATGTTGCAAGTAAAAAAAAAAGTGGAAGGACTTTTCTTTAATATCCATCTCCCCTTAATTAGTTTGAAGAAGAAAACATCTAATACTTACTCCTTCCCGCGCCGCTAAAAAGTTTCACGTACCCCGGTACCTGCTGCCCGTCACGCGATGCAAGCTCTGTGTTGACGACACCACCGGGTGCAGCGAAAACACGTTGACCCCTGACCCTTCTAACCGTTGAGCCAATGAGAACATGTGCATGACCTGTGGGCGTGTGTGATAGACGCGTTAAATGCTATCTTTCACAATGTTCGTGGTAATTGTTGTTACGAATACATTTATGCATATTCAAAGGGATAGTTGAGTTCTTGTTTAAGACCGCAAATGCCTTCAAAATGCATGGTTATTGCTCTTATTCTTATTCATTACATATCTAGGACCTAGAATTGCTATGAAGCTAATTTTAGACCTCAAAATGTGTACAATTTAAATTAAATACGAGTAAGCCTACCAATTTAGCTCCACATTCAAAAAAAATTATGACCGTTAAAACAGTATATCTTTTCAAAATAAACAAATCATTGTTCAATATTTAGCAAAAAGTGGGAAATCCAATTTCACGTCTTTTAAGCATTATTTTCATTTTTTTTAAAGGTCAGAATGAAATTCACTACCCTTTTTCAATTTGTCAAAGCTTACGTTTATATAATTTAAGCTAATATTTTCTTTTTTTTAAATTAAAAAAAAGTCTCTCACTCGGACAGGTATCTTTGTCTTCACAATTGTAATACCTGGAAATGCAACACAATATAGTCACTCAATGGAACGCAATATATCACATTGATAGATATATATATCACATTGATATATATATATATCAATGTGATATATTGCGTTCCATTGAGTGACTATATTATTGTGTTGCATTTCCAGGTATTACAATTGTGAAGACAAAGATACCTGTCCGAGTGAGAGACTTTATATATATATGTGTGTATATAATGTAAAAGATAGTCATATCTTTGTCAAGTCAGGTCAGATAATATTAACTTGTCAAGTCAGGTCAGATAATTTTATCTTTGTCAAGTCAGGTCAGATAATATTAACTTGTCAAGTCAGGTCGGATAATTTTATCTTTGTCAAGTCAGGTCAGATAATATTATCCTTGTCAAGTCAGGTCAGATAATTTTATCTTTGTCAAGTCAGGTCAGATAATATTAACTTGTCAAGTCAGGTCAGATAATATTATCCTCGTCAAGTCCGGTAGATAATTTTATCTTTGTCAGGTCAGGTCAGATAATATTATCCTTGTCAAGTCCGGGTAGATAATTTTATCCTCGTCAAGTCGGGGATTATATTATCTTGTTCAAGTCAGGTCAGATAATAGTATCCTTGTCAAATCCGGGTAGATTATTATCTGTGTCAAGTCGATGCAGATCATGTCAATTCAAGGTAGATACATGTAATATCAGTTTTGTCAAGTCAAGGCAGTTATTGTCAATGTCTAGTCAGATCCCACTGACAAGGAGAAATAATCTGCGGTTCTCCTCGCAGCTGCTTGTTGATGGGTCCAGCTCGGCGATCCGTCCAGCTACCCGAAGTCCGACTCTAGATCTGCCCATGCCGCCGTCATTTTTCCAGTTCTGATTTGTTGCGTTTAATTGAAAGCTAGAACGAGTTCACAGTCTAGAAATCAGGCCCGATTTGTCTTTCGAAGGAAATATAAATCAAACGTACACCTCTGTCGGTTATTTTGGGACTGAATAGATATGAATAATAACAAACAAGACTAAGTTGAAGCAGCTAGGGAGGCGGTGTACCTGGTTGAAGCACCTATACATTTATGCTGTCAACAATGAAGCATCTACGTACCAGTACTTCACACTTTTTACTATGTACACGCGCGCGGCGACGCACGCTGTACTGTAATTGGTCGCTATTAATTGTCCTGCTTGTCAGATTCTATTGTTCAGGTGCGAATTAAGGCTACCTAATCCCTTGGCTAATTTGAATCACGAAAGTCTGTAATCAGCAGAGTTGGTGTATATTTAATTCATGTTGTTCTATCGGCATGGCATGTGTGTGTTTGAATGGGGGGGGGGGGGGGGGGGCGATCGGACCAAAATGGCAAAGGCCCTTCAGCATATACAGAGCCGATTTGTGATATAGGATTTTCCGGCTAGATTCGCGAGTTTGTAATTCGAATTAATTAACTTTGCATTTGAGTTAGCGCAGATCGGCACTGCCATGCCAATTATCATTTAATTATCGTTATTTTATTTTATTTGGATTTTAGTTGAAGGGTTTCATAGATTTGTCATTTAATTGAGAAACTGCTCAACAAGCATTCAAACTAATCATCACTTGTCGAGGCGTCGTTTCTATCATTTAACTTAACACCTGTCATTCGTAATCGAAATATTTTTATTTAAGTCAGACAAAAATAATAAAAGACTAGCACATTGTTCATTAATTTGAATGAAACATATGAGATATAGAAACTTCATAGATTTGAAAACTAGTAAAGGAATATAAACCCGTTATATACCTGACAGCACTAAAAACCGTCGAATTGGAGCGCAAGAGAAATTAATTTTAATGACAAATTCGCGAATTTGGCCGGGAAATCCTTCGAAAAATCGAGCTAACTAGGGCGGGAAATAAATAATGATAATGAGTTTCTTTTCACTTCACCACGCTGTTGGATTAAAGTAGAGAGTGAACACAAAAGAAACTTCAATTTTAAAAGAGAAAACATAAACTTTGTCGATCACAAGACAGTGTGTGATTTTAAAAGGAGAAAACAAAAGTCCATGTTGCCAGGGTGTGTTTGCGTTATTAATTTTAGCTCTTGAAAAACGAAAAATAAAAGAAAGTATGCTTTTAAAGCAAATGTGTTAAGATTAAGAAACATGTGTTATTTCTTTTCTGGGGAACATTATCTTAGGGGCGTGTAAATCCTATACAAAAAGCAATAGCTTTTTTTGGCAATCTCGGACAAAATGCATAACAGTCGGAAAACAATTCAGTTTATCTTTACTATTTAACATGATGTTAAAAGGAAGATGATCAATAGAAAAGAAAGAGAAGTGAGTGAGAGAGAGAGAGAGATAACTGACACTGTATTAAATATGATATTGATGTGTTAGTTATTTTAAAAAGAGATCAAATGACAGAGAGGGGGGAAGTCTAGAAGCCTAGTCTGCATGTATAGACTTGTTTTGCACTTTTAAAAAAGCTGCGTGCAAACTTTGAAATTCCTGTATCTAGTAAAGATCAATTTTTAGTTGCTATTTTATTTTGACAACCATTCAAATATGATATATGTTTTCATTCAAATAGCAATTGTAAAGTGTGTGTGTTTGTTTGTTTTGTTTTTAGCGTAAAAATAGAGTCTGTTTCAGCAGACTATGTAGAGTTGACATCCTCTTGTTTGATCGCTATTGTCCGGCTTGCCAGATTCTTTTGTTCAGGTACGGATTAAGGCTGCCTACCTTGAATCACCCGAATTATATGTGGTCAGTAGTATGGGTATGGGCCCATCAGGAGGAGTGCATAAGGGTCTTTATTCTTAAGGAGCGCTATTCATAATAATAATCGGGGTCGTTATTCATATGATAAGATTGACGTTCATCATAATACGACAAGGTGGGCACTCATGCTTTTCGTATTATGAATAGCGACCCTCACTTTCTCATTATTAATAGCAGTCCTTACGAGTAGTGACCCCCAATTAAATTATGAACTGATGTGAATTATGAATAGCGACCTTCAACTCACTTTATAATAGCGGTCCTTATGCCGTTATGCATATATATGACACCCTTTCCGTTTCATGATTATAGCGTGTCACGTTATGAATAAGCGGTCCGTATGACTAGCGAGGCTACCCCACCAGGATATATAGTAGCTGGCAATTAATTGTATCTTTTATAAGTAGCCAAAAATAAATAGGCCTTCTTTCCCTAGACTAGATCATATGTTGGCAAAACAATAAAAAAAGAACATGTTTAGCGTCCTATTTTTTTGGAAAATAGGAAGGAGGAGGCCTTTTTTTTTAAAATCAGAAATAGATCCATTTAGCAGTGTTTTCATGTTTTTTTTCTTTAAAAACTCAACAAACAAAAAAAACAAAAAAATAGGATGCGGCCCCCAAAAAGGAAGCGGGCGGGGACGCTAACATGTATATATTTTAATGGCCTTGTCTTACAAGAGCTATATAGAGGCAAACGTGACCCGTCACGATGAAATGAAACAGAACTCGCTGGCCTAGAAAATTTCGAATTTGCATATTTTTTAAATCGGATGTTCAATGTTGCATGAATGTTCTGTAATGTTTTTTTCGCGTGTATTTTTGTTTGTCTTTAAATTTGTAGAGCTCTATTTAAAAAAAAGAAAGATACAGGAACTATACGTCGCGAATACAAGTGCGGGGGTGGGGGGGGGGGTATATCCACATCCCCGGAGGGGTCATATGGACCATACGCCCATGCTACACCTTGCTGATCCATGAATAAGAAAGACTTAATGGCTTGACATCAGTTTGCATTGGCAATACGAACAAAATGACAAATAGCAAAAGGGGAAAAAGGGGAAGAATGGCATATGACAGAGACGGGGAGAAGTCTAGAAACCTAGTCTGCATGTATAAACATTGTTTTGACACTTTCAGAAAGCCATGCGAACTCTGAAATTAATGTATCTTCTAAAGATATATTTTTAGTTCTTATTTTATTTGACAACCATTCAAATGTGATATTCTTGTATATACAGAAAGCAATGGTAATTTTGTTTCTTTGTGTTTTTTTTTAGCGTCAAAATAGAGTCTGTTTTCTGCAGACTTTGTACAGTTGACATTCTCGAAAAACTCAAAAACACCAATGAGGCCGGTTCATTGTGGCGTCAAGCATTATATACCCCATCCCCCTATTTGCATGCTTACGAATATAAATACTTCCTGGCATCTCGTTTTGTGTATTTTTGAAAGAAAGACAAGCGAGGGACTGAGCATCATTGACACTGTCGAAATTTCTCTTTTTTTTTAAATTAATATTATTGTTATTTTTACATTCTTTCATTTTTATTCAATTATACGCCATCTGAGCTTCCCCATTCTGGTTATGGAAAATTGTTGTTAACCGTTTTTAACATTAACATTTCTATCGCTTCTTTAGCACGGGCCTCGA